TGGACCAGGACCGCAGTCTTAAGTATCTTGCGCTGGCAAAAAGTTTCCAGTACAAAACAAGCCATTGTTTATGAACATTTGCCTCCCTTGGAAATCCCCTCTTCTGCAAGAGGAGTCTGGTGTGCTGCCCTCCAGATGCCCACTGCGATCACCTGGCTCCCCTGCCCATGGCTCCGCACCCACTCCTCTTTTCTCTTTTGCCTGTTTTACTGGCATCTGTTGGTGGGAGACCGGAGATCATTATGAAGCAGCACCTGAGCCTGCCACATTGTGCTGCACAAACACACACTGTGGTGGCATTTCTTTACAAGGCAGGTAGTCTGGGGAGGGAATTCAGTTTTCAGGGGAATCACTTGCTCTGCCCCTCTGCGCCTGGATCATCTTAACTTTCCCCTTGTGAGTGTTTAATAAAGCAGCATAAATGCAACCAAATGTTGTTCAGTTTTCTTTCCTCCCGGCAAGGTGCCCTTTTGTATGTTAACAAGCATCTGGATAGAACTGCAGCTGTCACTGCACCATCTGCATTGCCCAGTAGGTGTACAGCAGATGACAGGTGTCAAACAATGGCCTTTTGCTGAAGAGGCCAGTAGGCTTCACCACACAGGTGAAAGCAGCCTGAAACAAAAGCTGTGCTGTGTTTGAAACCTTTCTGAAGAATAGACTGAGTTGTGACAGAGCTCAAAGACCTCCTCTGGACAAAGCTCTTGATTTTCTTTGTCGGTCTTCCTCTTCTTTACTGGTCGTTGCTACATTGACTTTATATTAGGCATTTTGCCAACTATTTGCAGAATTGATCAACTGAGCAGTGTAATGGTTCAGATGCTGGACTTGGATGAGAGAGAGACCTGCATTCGAGGTTGATTTCACACAAGCATATGCATTGAACATACTATCAACTGATGATCTGCATGAGGAACCAGATCCTTGCAGATTAATTGCCGCAGAAAGAATATAGTTATTGCTCCATGTCAACATAAGTACAATGTGTCTTAGTGGCTAGACTTTTAACTCGTGTCTAAAAAACCACTGAGCACTGATACCTCATCTACACTGCCTTATAATCCAGTTTCTGAATCCAGATCATCTGCTTTGAATTGGAATAATGGTAGAGTAGACTCATATAATTCAGTTCAAAGCAGATAATCTGGATTCAGAAACTGGATGATCTGGCAGTATAGATCCAGCCTGAGAGTCTTTTCTACCTCCTGGTTCCCCTTCCTTTAGCTTATGTGTCTTAAAGCTTGTGCAAACATATTAAAACATTAAGCCTACCATTGGAGTTTCTGTCTTGCAGGTTCTTCGACATACAAACAAAGCTTTGTCTGGTTGAATCTTCAAAATGAATCCAAGTAATGTTTCTGCCATATACAACCCTGTATATCATCTGCCACATTATCTCCTTCTGTCAAGATTTTAGATTTGTGTTCTTTTAAAATCTATGACATAAGGCCATTGACAGATAAACCTAGCATCATAGAATGAACCATACTTTGCCTTTTACTTCCAAATAGCCCTATTTTTTTCTCTTCCTATATCATGCAATCTGCTTATGTTATTTGCCATTTTCTATGATTTTTCATAAAACTTTAGCAGGCTATTCATCCTTCTGAAAATTATTCTAATTGAAGTCAGCTTCATTGAGTATATTCTTCTCTCAGTAGGCTTTCTTCTTATTTTCAATATATTTTCTCTGGTTTTGTCTCAATTCTCCTTCAACTCTAACCTAGATTATATCACTTCTTTGTTCTAATTAAATATACCAATGCCCAACTGTGAAGGTGTTGGGAGCCCGACACAAAGAGTTGATGGTATCTCATCCACCAGTATTGAGTCTTCCTGCCTATCTGTAAACATGGTTCAGATTTCTGTCCATGTAAAAAGATAAGGGACACAGATGTTCATATTTTTCTTTGGTTATATAAGGAAACTTGATAACCAGTTTTGAATCAGGGCGAACTTGTGTAAGCTGGTTTTCAAGAAAGTACATTAGATGAGTGCCACTAATGAGAAAACCAATTTTTAATGTTATAGATCCACATGGTGTCTGGTTTCAGAGCTAATCTAACTAGGCCTGTTATAAATGGTTGACTGGATATTTATATAAGAGAAGAAAGTCTGTTATGTATCCAGATCCAAAGTTGTTTAGGGCTTTGTATGTTTGCAGCAGAATTTTGGATATGACTCACTAATAATAATAATAATTATTATTATTATTATTATTAATTTATTTATTTATAGACCACCCTATCTCCCCAGAGGGACTCAGGGTAATTTCCCACACATATGGCAAACATTCAGTGGCAACAAAGAGACATATGACAGATTACATCAAAACATGACACACCACAGAAAATAGAACAGCCATTACTATCAACTCAGTAGCCAACAAGCAGCCAGTACTGTTCTTTTAACACAGGTGTAGTATGGGACTAGTATGTGCTCTGTTAGTAAAGACAGTTGCTGTGTTCTGGAGTTACTGCAAATTCCAAACCAGGCACAAAGGGAGTCCTACATAGAATGCCTTACAATAGTTAAATCAGGATGCTGTTAGAGTATGGATCTCATGGTTGGTTCTGTCCTACTACTACCAGAGTTGGACTTGGTCATGAGTGCTGTGTGATGCTGCAGTCAACTTAGCCTCTAGTGATAAGGATCCGGCATCTTCTTCCCCTTGTGCCAGGACAGATCGCCCAATTCCTAGGCCTGGCAACTGCAACACCCATAAGAGTTCTTCCCCCACCTTCCTTCAGTCCTCCGATTTCTAGCATTGCAGAGAGTGAGACACTGAAAATTGCTCACATCTAGAACATGTCTGTTTGCTGTGTCTGCATTTCCTTGGTCACTTTGCCCTTTTTTCTTTGCTATTTTCTGCTAGTACAGTAGTGTCGTCTGCATATCTTAAATTACTAATGTTTCTTCCTGCAATTTTCATGCATTCTTTGGTGCACTCCATTATTCAATGTATGTTTGCCATATGATCCTTAGTTTCTCTTCCTTTCCTGAACCCAGCTTGGACACCTGGTATCTCTCACTCCACATATCATTCACTCTCCTGCTTCATTTCTTGATCCTATAAAAGATATCCCTACAGCCCTTGATTCTGCTGTTTTGTACAGATATTAGCAAAAGCCTTGTTTTAGGGTGTGATCAGTTTCTTCCTGGACTCCAACATAGACTCTTTCAGTTTTTTCTTCTGAAAGCTGGAACATACATTTGAATTATGGTTATATTGATGGGTTTTTTCTGAAGACCTGTTGATATTATGTAGTAAAGTTAACATTCCAGCCTTCATCTCCTTTTGCTACATCTCTCTATTAACTTACTCTAATTTTCTTATATTTTCATTTCCATAGTAAAATACAGTGTAATTGTTTGAATCGATATGTCTCATTTCTGTCCTCTTCAGTTTGCTCTCCTCAAGCATTGCAATACTTACATATTTAATTTCTTGTTTTACTATCGTTTCTATGTCTAGTTTCCTCTGATTCATGCTTCACATATTCCATATCCCTTCAGTATCTGAAACCAGACACCATTGCACACCATTGTTAGAATCATATAATCCTAGAGTTGGAAGAGACCTTGTGGGCCATCCAGTCCAACCCCATTCTGCCAAGAAGCAGGAAAATCGTATTCACAGCACCCCCGGCAGATAGCCATCCAGACTCTATTCAAACTTCTCCAAAGAAGGAGCCTCCACCATACTCCGGGGCATAACAGAAATAATAAGTTAACATCCTTTAAAGCAGTGCAGATCCCACCTCTTTGTAAATCAGTACTTTCTTTTATCACTGTTTTGTCTCTTTAATTTCTAAAGATGGTGTTTATCTTTATTATGCTTTGCATTCAAATAATAGATTATGACAACAAAACATAGTAAAGGCAAACTATAATGTCCACATTTTGCAGAGAAGTAAGAGGAGAGAAAGAACTTTGCTATGAAATCATCATGTAGTCCTTGAGAAAATGGAGTTTGGTCTTGGTCATCCTCCAACTGAAACAAAAATGCTATGCCTGATCTGTGTGATTTCTTTCCCATGCTCAGTTTCATTTTTACTTTTTCACATCTCCTTGAACTACTTGGTTATTTATATAAAGAATCATGGCTTACAGTCAGTGGTATGGGATTTTCTGCTGTGAATGCATTTTTCAAATGTAAGATGTTTATATAAGAAAAAAAGTTCAGGTGAAATATAATTGTTCTACCTGTTTTCAATCATTGTTTTACATTTTGCCAAAGCCTGCTAAAGAACATACTACAGACTTTACATTTCACTTTTTAGATTTAGCTGCCCTCTGGTGGTAGCAAATTTATTAAAGGTGACTTGAATCCCAGATTGCATATACAGACAGTCCCCAAGTTAACAAACAAGACAGGTTTTGTAAGTTTGTTGTTAAGTTTAATGTGTATGTAAATTGGAACAGGAACATTTTTTAAGTGTAACTCCAGCCAAAAAATATGTTTAGCTTTGAATAGCATAGAGAAGGGTTAACACCCCTGTGTTGTTTTGCTGTCTATGTCCCTGTTCAGAAGTTTTCACCTCACTTTCTGAAGTTTTGACCTCACTTTCTGTCCCTGTGAAAACTGGATTTTGGAAAATGAGATGCTTTTTTTAGAAACAAGGATTGCTGATAAAGCTTCAGTGGAGATACCTTTTCTCCATGATAACACTTTCAGGAGTGAATTTCTTTTCCAAGAGGTAGATTTTTCTCCCTTCCTGTTGTCTCACCCCTGTTTGTAACTAGGAGCATTATGTAACTTGAGGACTGCCTGTAGAACATATTAAATCTGATCTTAAGTTATCATCATTTAGAATTAAAATAGGTCCTGGAGTCAATATATCCAGAGTCACCTTTGGTGCCACCCTGACTGGCCTTGCAGGAAAGCACCTCTAGTTTTTAGTTAGTCTTCAGTCGTAAGACTTGAAGGTGTCTTACGATAGCGGAGACTAGTGAGAGTGTGGTCTCACCTAAACAGCATGTTTCTGTCTTCCTCACAGTGTCATCAGTCATCAGGGGAAGACATGGAGATCTCTGATGATGAAATGGCCTCATCGCCAAGCACAGAATGTGCCAAAAACATTGTGGTGAACTCGGCTGTGATGGCTTCCTCGATCCCCATGCCACCACCTGGCTTCCCCCCTTTGCCTCCACCACCTCCACCCCAGACAGTCTATCCAATGCCACCCCCTCTCCCTCCGCCACCACCACCAACTCACCCTGCAGTGACTGTCCCGCCTCCGCCCCTGCCAGCACCCCCAGGGGTTCCCCCTCCTCATATCTTGCCTCCACTCCCTCCCTTCCACCCTGGAATGTTCCCTGTCATGCAAATGGATATGATCAGTGTCTTGGGCAACCAGTGGGGTGGCATGTCGATGTCTTTTCAAATGCAAACCCAGATGTTGAGCCGCCTGATGCAAGGGCAGAACTCGTACCAGTACCCTCCTTTCCTGGGGAACCGGATGCAGTTTGTGAACCTTCCTCCTTACCGACATTTCTCCATGGGAGCAGCTGTCAACCGGGGACAACAGTGGCCGCCTTTGCCCAAGTTTGATCCGTCTGTTCCTCCCCCGGGTTATGAGCCCAAGAAGGAAGACCCACACAAAGCTACTGTAGACGGTGTGCTCTTGGTGATTGTGAAGGAACTTAAAGCAATAATGAAAAGAGACCTGAACCGGAAGATGGTGGAGGTGGTGGCCTTCAGAGCATTTGATGACTGGTGGGACAAGAAAGAGCGCTTGGCCAAGGTAGGTGTCCTGGTGAGGTCGATCATGTTCGGCATCACTGGAACCATCCTTTCCTGTGGCTTCTGTGGAAGGGTGGCTTTCTATGACTTTCTATGGGCAGACACGGTTTGCATCACCTCCTTCTTGTGTCCTCTGGGTATTTTGTTCTGATGGCCCCACAGTTCTGCTTCTTGAATTGTTTTTCTAACATGGTTGATTCAGTTGCTACCTCACTCGTGTGATAAAGTCCTGTGACTCTGTGTGATAAAGTCCTGTGACTCGTGTGATAAAGTCCTGTGACTCTGGGTCTGCAGCTATATGACTGGCATTCTCAAACCTCCAACTCAATCTAACCCTACAGCAAGGATGAGGCTATGGCACACATTGGGGGAAATGGTGTGCTTTTTGCAGCCATAAATAGCTCATCCAAAATTAAGAGTGGTGATAGATTTTGCCGTTCATCATTGGATATACATAGCAGTGAAAGACATTAAAGGTGAGTGTGATAAATGGCAGTAAACGTGTTCTGGCATAGTCTTAATGCTTTTGAACTACAATGTAACTGGTCCCATTCAGGAAAATGAAAGATCTGTGTAAGTTGATGATGCAGTTGTGTTCATTATAGGTATATGCATTGGGTTCTCGTGTTCTTCTTCAGGCATCACTTACTCCAGTGAAATCTGGTGAAAACAAAGATGAGGAAAAGCCAAAACCAAAGGATCGCATTACGTCTTGTCTCCTGGAGAACTGGCATAAAGGCGAGGGTCTGGGTTACGAAGGCATCGGCTTAGGCATTGGACTACGAGGAGCCATCCGGTTACCATCTTTCAAGGCAAGAGCATCTAGTCATTCACAATATGAATAAAGCTTACATGTAGTACTCTGAAGAATTTTGTTGGAGTTAGTAGCAGTCTGAATGTCTCTCATGTCATTTTGCATTAAACCCATCTTTTTCAGTGAGGTCAAAACTCTCCAGCTCTTCTCTTGTAAAAACATATGTGCCCTTTAGCTCTGTAATCTGTATAGTGGCTGACAGCAGGCTGTTTAGAACATAACGAAAGCTTTTACTTTTGTGTGTGTCAGGAGCGACTTGAGAGACTGCTTTTACTGACCACCATACTCTCGTTTGGTCAGGCATAACAGAATGAAGGGTTACTTGTCATCTCTGTGAGTTCAGACAGGGCACTGGAACCCTTGAAAGAAGGGCAACTTGAATATAGTTTTTGCTTGGACCAGCCTTTAAAACATTTGGGCATTAGTAGGGAACAACATAAACTTTTGCGGGGCTTGACAACTTTTAGTTTGTTCTCGTTCATGAAAGTACTGAAGTTCCCCCTAGTTGAATTGTTCTGATATCAGTAAGTTACAAAAATGTATTGAGAAACATAACAAGGAAAAGAACGAAGAAACCAAAGCTACTTTGATACTGTTGTATAGCCAATTTCTTACATTTGTAAGATTTTTTGTTCCTGTGGTAGAGTTGTTAAGTATAGATCTCAAACAAATTCATCTCCCCAAATGAGTTAATTCTGGCCTTTTGCAGGTGAAGAGAAAGGAGCCACCTGAAGCTGCCTCAGCTGGAGACCAGAAGAGACTGCGGCCCTCTACATCGGTAGATGATGAAGATGAAGGTTAGCAATGCTTAATCCAGACTTGGTTGTATGTAGTACTGAGCCATTGAAAGCAGTTAGATTGAAATTAGCCATCAGTCAGGTTCCAAACAGATAAGAATTGCAAATTGCTCATTTCTGGAATTTTGTGCCCCCTCCACCAGCTTTCACATGCTTTTATCCTCTAGAATCTGAACGCGATCGAGACCTGCCTGATGCGGCATCAGACCTCTCCAAGAAGGATGCTGAAGCTGTAGGCCTCAGAAGGAGACCGGGCAGGCCATTGGAACTGGATAGTGAAGGGGAGGAGGCGGACTCAGCTAAAGAGGAGGAGGAAGAATCTTCTTCAGAAAAGGAGCCAGAGCAGGAGGAAGAGGTGATGAAACCAGCATCTGACAAGGTACATCCCTCCTTTGATCTAAGTTATCTTTTCGGACTCTGTTGTTCTATTTTCAATATGTGTTATTGTCTTTGTCTGCAAGCCCCTTGGTGAACTGGGAAAGTCTGTTATTTCCATTGCAGTCGACATTCAAAAAAGAAGTTGATCAAAAGCTGCCCCATTGCTCACAAAATACAACTACAGTGTTCGCTCACTACTTCGCGGTTCGCTTTTCGCAGACTTGCTGTTTCACAGTTTTCCTCTCTGTCCTCCCTTCCTCCAGCCTTGAAGGGCCTTTCCTTCCTTCACTCTCTCTCTCTTCACCTGGTAAAGGGAAAGGCGAGGAGGGCTTGCTCCTTTATCTTCCTTCCTTCCCTAACAGCCCTTTCCTTCTCCTGCAGCCGCAGCACTGACAGGGAGATGGGTGGGGGGAGCTGCGGGGAGGAGGAGGAGGAGAGGAAGGCATGTGCAAGCGGGGAAGGAGGATGGGGAGGAGGGGAGGGAGAGCCAGGTGCGCAAGGAGGAGCCAGCATGAAGGGTGGTGTGCAAGGGGAGAGAAGGAGGAAGGGGGGGGGGGAGGAGAGGAAAGAGAAGGGGAAGGGATTGAGTGAGAGAAAGGGGGGAGGGAGTGAGAGGACTCGTCGGAGCCACTCCTAGGAGGGGGCGGTCCTACGCCTCGCATGCGCTGAGGCAGTACATATACATAGAATCATAGAATCAAAGAGTTGGAAGAGACCTCATGGGCCATCCAGTCCAACCCCTTGCCAAGAAGCAGGAATATTGCATTCAAATCACCCCTGACAGATGGCCATCCAGCCTCTGTTTAAAAGCTTCCAAAGAAGGAGCCTCCACCACACTCTGGGGCAGAGAGTTCCACCGCTGAACGGCTCTCACAGTCAGGAAGTTCTTCCTCATGTTCAGATGGAATCTCCTTTCTTGTAGTTTGAAGCCATTGTTCGCGTCCTAGTCTCCAGGGAAGCAGAAAACAAGCTTGCTCCCTCCTCCCTGTGGCTTCCTCTCACATATTTATCATGGCTATCATATCTCCTCTCAGCCTTCTCTTCTTCAGGCTAAACATGCCCAGCTCCTTAAGCCGCTCCTCATAGGGCTTGTTCTCCAGACCCTTGATCATTTTAGTCGCCCTCCTCTGGCCACATTCCCAGCTTGTCAATATCTCTCTTGAATTGTGGTGCCCAGAATTGGACACAATATTCCAGGTGTGGTCTAACCAAAGCGGAATAGAAGTGTAGCATTACTTCCCTAGATCTAGACACTATGCTCCTATTGATGCAGGCCAAAATCCCATTGGCTTTTTTTGCCGCCACATCACATTGTTGGCTGATGTTTAACTTGTTGTCCACGAGGACTCCAAGATCTTTTTCACACGTACTGCTCTCAAGCCAGGCATTGTCCCCCATTCTGTATCTTTGCATTTCGTTTTTCTGCCTAAGTGGAGTATCTTGCATTTGTCACTGTTGAACTTCATTTTGTTAGTTTTGGCCCATCTCTCTAATCTGTCAAGATCATTTTGAATCCTGCTCCTGTCCTCTGGAGTATTGGCTATCCCTCCCAATTTGGTGTCGTCTGCAAACTTGATGATCCTGCCTTCTAGTCCTTCATCTAAGTCATTAATAAAGATGTTGAACAGGACTGGGCCCAGGACGGAACCCTGCGGCACTCCACTTGTCACTTCTTTCCAGATGAAGAGGAAGCATTGGTGAGCACCCTCTGGGTTCGTCCATTTAACCAATTACAGATCCACCTCACAGTAGTTTTGCCTAGCCCACGTTGGACTAGTTTTTTTGCCAGAAGGTCATGGGGGACCTTGTCGAAGGCCTTACTGAAATCCAGGTACGCTACATCCACGGCATTCCCCGCATCTACCCAGCTTGTAACTCTATCGAAAGAGATCAGATTAGTCTGGCATGACTTGTTTTTGATAAATCCATGTTGACTATTAGCGATGACTGCATTTGTTTCTAAGTGTTTGCAGACCACTTCCTTAACAATCTTTTCCAGAATCTTGCCTGGTATCGACGTGAGGCTGACCGGATGGTAATTGTTTGGGTCATCCTTTTTTCCCTTCTTGAAGATTGGGACCACATTGGCCCTCCTCCAATCTGCTGGAACTTTTCTCAAAGAACTCGCAAAGATTATTGCCAATGGTTCCAAGATGACTTCCGCTAATTCCTTCAATACTCTTGGGTGTAGTTGATCTGGCCCCGGGGACTTGAACTCATTTAGAGTGGCCAGATATTCCTGGACGACTTGTTTCCCAATTTGGGGTTGGATGTCCTCTAATCCCTCATCCACTCCATCTTGCTGAGGTTGAAGATGACTTTCTTTTTGTGAGAAGACCGAGGCAAAGAAGGCATTAAGTAGTTCTATCTTTTCCCTACCCCCTGTCAGCATTGCCCCATCTTCTCCTCGAAGAGGCCCTATCACCTCCTTGTTTTTCTTTTTTCTACTGACATAAGAAAAGAAGCCCTTTTTATTGTTTTTAATGTCCCTGGCAAGCCTGAGCTCGTTTTGTGCTTTAGACTTGCGGACCTGTTCCCTATAGGTGTTGGCTATTTGAATTCTTCTTTGGTGATTTCTCCCTTTTTCCTCTTCTTGTGCATGTCTCTTTTGTGTCTTAGCACAGTTAGAAGTTCTTTGGACATCCATTCTGGCTTCTTTGCACTTGTCCTATTTTTTCTCTTTGTTGGCACAGTTTGTAATTGTGCCTTGAGTATTTCACTCTTGAGAAATTCCCATCCATCCGTAACTCCCTTGTCTTTTAGTATCTGTGTCCACGGAATGCTGCTCAGTGTTTCCTTCATTTTTCGGAAATCAGCTCTCCTAAAGTCTAAAATGCGGGTTTGACTTGTCTTGACTTGTTTGGCCTTCCTTTGTACCTCAAATTGCAGGAGCACATGGTCACTTGCCCCTAAGGATCCAACCACTTCAACTGCATTGATAAGGTCCTCCGCATTTGTTAGGATGAGATCAAGAGTAGCCAACACCCTTGTTGTCTCTTCTACCTTCTGGACCATGAAATTGTCTGCAAGGCAAGCGAGGAATTTGTTGGACCTTGTACTCTTGGCTGAGTTTGTTTTCCAGCAAATATCGGGATAGTTGAAATCGCCCATGACTACTACATCTCTTCTCTGTGCCTGTTTGGTCAACTGTTGGCAGAAAACTTCATCAAGTTCTTCCTCCTGGCTTGGTCGTCTGTAGTAGACGCCTACAACGACATCTTTTTGAGTCCCAGTTCCCTTGATTCTTATCCAGATGCTTTCAAACTGGTTTCCTGGATTGCTGTCTTGCATCTTTTCTGCAGCGTAACAGTTTTTGACATATAAGGCTACTCTGCCTCCTCTCTCCTTTGTTCGGTTTCTATTAAAGGGGTTATAGCCCTCCATGTCTACATTCCAGCGATAGGAGTCATCTCACCAGGTTTCAGTGATGCCTATGACATCATATTTGTGGTGTTGTGCTAAAAGTTGGAGTTCGTCTTGTTTATTTCCCATGCTCTGTGCATTAGTGTAAAAACATGTGAGCCCCTGAGCTGTTTAATTGGGATTATTGTGCTTTTGGTACTTGGTCCTCGTTGTGTTTGTGCAGCCCTCCGTTCAGCCTTCTGGCGGTTCCCTGACATTATGGGTAAAGTAGCGTTCGCAAGGCTGTTGTCCCCCTCCCCCGCTGGACCTAGTTTAAAGTGCGCCTAATGAGGTTTGCGAGTCTGTGAGCAAAAAGGTGTTTTCCTACTTGTGTGAGATGCACCCCATCCCTTGCCAGTAGACCATCCTCCTGGAAAAGCAGGCCATTGTCAAGGAAGCCAAAGCATTCCTCCTGACACCATTTTCTAAGCCAGTTATTGACCTGTACTATTTTTCTGGCCCTTGTAGGACCGTGCCTTACAACTGGGAGGAGTGTCCTTGCTTCACGGATTTTCACTTATCGTGGGTCATCCTGGAACGGAACACCCGCAATAAGTGAGGGAACACTGTAAATACAAAATGGTGATACCATTATTGGGCCAGCTCCAAAGCACCGAAAATATCACCAATTGTGATATCAATTTTGAGGCTTCACCACTTTTTTCACCAGGCAAAGATGTTTAAAAATAATGGAGAAGAAAAGCAACAATGTTAGAGTCACTTGCCTACATTTTGTCTCAGATATGACTTCTGTTGCCCATTAAGATGGTCTGGGGGATCTCCTTGTAGACAGAGGTCACTCCTCTTCCTGGCTATGTGGCCACTGGGGACAACAGTAAAACACAGGCAATAATATTTCAATCCATTAGCAGCGGCAAAGTAATTTCTATTGAGATTTAGACTCTGTCCTGTGCAGTGCCAATTGCTCCTTTCTGTGTCTTAGTTAACTGCTTCTCCTTCTATCTGGATGTTTGTACCAGATGTGTGAAGTTGTCTTGGAGTTCAGTCATACCATAATATAAGCACCTAGCTGACACATTTCTTCCTTTCCCCTTGTGCAAAAGTAATGAAGGTTTCTGAATTTTCAAAATGTCTTGTGTCCCAAGGAAGAGGAGGAAGAGGAAGACATCAATGAAGAAGAAGAAGAAGAGGAGGACGTGGAAGACGAAGAAGTTGAAACAGAAATGAGTGAAAAAGAAGAGTATCAGGATTCTGAAGAAGGTATGAGGTCTTGTGAGTGTCCAAATAAATGCAAAGGTTTTGATTCGAAGATATGTTTTGTCTTGGTTACTGGATGATGTATGCTGCATTCTTTGCCGTTTCTGAAATTCATACAAAAGGGTCTACTGCACCCATACAGTGCTTCCTTTTGAAAATTCTATAGTGAAGCAGCCTTTTTCCTGAGTGTCCCACCCATCTTCTATATACATATGTATTGCGGTTCCCACACAGTTCCCGAGTAATTTTATTCTGTCACAACACCTACATCAATGTGGAGCCTACTTCTTGGAGGAGGGTTTTGTTTTTGGATCCAGTGGGAAGGCAAGGGTGCTCCATGCAGTCATGCCAGCCACATGACCATGGAAGCGTCTATGGACAACGCCGGCTCTTTGGCTTAGGATGGAGATGAGCAACACCCTCCAGAGTCAGACACAAATAGACTTAATTTCAAGGGAAAACCTTTACCTTTACTTTTAAATCATCTCTCACCTTTTGATTATTTTGGCACTCCCTACCTATTTTTCATTTTCTTTTTTGTACTTACTGGAATTCTTTGGTCTGAGCAAATGTGTCGTAGAGAAGCCTCATTTAATCCTTCTCTTTCCAACAGACGATGTAAAAAGCCTGGTTTCCTCCAGAGCAGAGCTTGAATCATCTGATGAAAGTGATGAGTCCTCAGACTTTGGGACAAGCTCTGACTCCGATGATGAAGATGATGAAGATGAGGAGGAGGAGGAGGAGGAGGAGGAGGCAGAGGAGGAGGAAAGCTATGAGGAGCAAGCAGAAGATAATGAAGGGATATCTCTACAGCAAGAAAGAGAAGATGCTGAGCTAGCTGAGGAGTCGCTCCTTCATGAGCCTGAAAACGATGATGAAAAGGAGACAATTCTGGAATTGTTTGCAGTGGATGACTACATGGGAGAGACTCCTCTGGTACTGGGACAAGTTCCAATTCCAGAAGGAGAGGAACGGAAGGAAGATGTCCGGCAACCAGAAGAGGAAAGTGGGGAGGTGCCTGAAGAGTCTCTTGCTGCAGAAGTTCTAATAGTTATTGAGAGAGCCCAGGAGGAAAAGCTACAATTGTCTCCAGTGTGTACACCAGGTAAAGGAGCTTTTCCTGCTAATCTTAGTACTAGCTATATACTCATATTTGATGGGGAAGGTTCTTTCTGAATGTATCTATTTCTGTTTGTGTCTGCCTTCATTGGATTTTTGTTAGAAGAGATGAGGCCCTGCTTATGACTTGGAATTTACTCAAACAAGTCTCAGGCTTCCATGGGCTGCAGTAAAAATGTCATGTTCATCTGTCATTTATTGTGAATTGGAACTGGGGCAGGGAATGATCAGGCATAAGGTGAGGAGACTGAGTCCGATGTATCTCAACTCCATGATTCTAGACTGTAGCCCACTGTTGAACTTAGCGGAAAAAATGTTCTTGTGGTGGGTGATGCGTGATGGTCAGGCTGCTCAGGCATCATCCAGACATCATCCAGGCATCATAAAGACTCCTGTTGTGAGACTTTAGCCAGTTTTATAACCACAATGTACTGTCTCAAAGGAGAGACCATTGGCAACCAAATCAGTGTATTCACTTTTGTTTTTTTTATTTCCTTCAAGTGTCAGTGGAGGAACCCGAACCAAATATCGAGCACAAGCCTGAAATGCTGGATGGTCCAAAGCCAGAGACTCAGGAAGATGAAAACCTCCGTCCGCCGACATCATTGGGGCTGCTTGGAGATGTCTTACCCAGCAAGACCTCATTTTTCTCCAAGCAAGAAGACAGCAGTTTATATGCCCAAGCAAAACCCAAGCTGTCCTTCATGGCCGAGGAGGAAGGTCGGCTTCCTCGAACTCCAGGGAGGGAAGTGCTGTCTCACTTGGAGTCTCCCATGCTTTCCATGGAAGCTGTGCCATCTTGTTCGCTCCCCCTCCCCTGTGGGATGTCAGGCAAAGAGGAACTGTTGCTTCTTCCTGACAAGTTCCTGGGTCAGGTACCCATGACCAAACCACCGCTAGAGGAAGAGCTGCCTCGGACTCCGGGCCGGGATATTTTAGCAAAGTGCTCGCACAGCCTCTCCAAGTCTCAGAGTACGGACACTATCCCACCCACACCAGGCAGCGATGCTCCTCTCACAGGGAGCAGCTTGACTTTAAGTTCCCCTCAAGTCCCAGGCAGCCCCTTTTCCTACCCCTCTCAGTCCCCCAGCATCAACAGTGGTGGCATTCCTCGGACTCCTGGTAGGGACTTCACTTTCACGCCGACGTTTCCAGAGCCTGGTGCTACCCTTCCTTGCTTTTTATCCAGCAAGAAGCTCTCTGAGGACGAACCTGATGAGAAGGTCTTTAAAGAGCCTCTGAGTGCTTCTCTCCTGGCTGGTGTGAACAGTGTACCCTCCCCCATTCCCTTTGCCAGCCCCCCAGTCGCAGCTTTCCATGCACATGTCGAGTTGCCGCCCAACCAGCCAGTACCTCTCACTGTTCAGTCTTGCTTGTTCATTGACTCCAAGATGTCTCTGGAGGAACACAGCATGGACACACAACCCCTCTTGTCCTTTGCCCCAGAACAGACGGGGTCCTCCCCACCCCTCCCTCCTCCCCCGCCCTCCTCTGTCTTGCCCCTCAAAAGGAAGCCAGGTCGACCCAAACGATCCTCTCCGCTGGGGCCGATGTTGGAGCCTTATTCCAGCAAACCCCTCGAGCCACCTCTCCTTCCGATCCCAGTTGCCTTGACTGAAAGTGCTGTGAACAAAGAGTTGCTGAGTGGCCACCCAGAGGCTTTCTATCCCCTGAAAGACCCTGAAGCAGTGACTCTGGATTTCCGGAATGACTGCTTTCATGACAAAGTTAGCCCTGAGGTTTTATCTGAGAAGCTTCCCTTCAAGGAGCTGGAGAACCAGTGGAATGAGGATGTCAAAGAGGACGAGGCTTACCTGAAATGCAAGAGACAGTGGAGGCGGCAAAAGAAGAGGCCAGACGACCTCCCAACAATTCCTTCCCCTGAGTATTCCCCACAACGGTTTCACTTTAGGCCCCGGTCAGAGTTTGAGGAAATGACCATTTTGTATGATATTTGGAATGGAGGGATAGATGAGGAAGATATCCATTTCCTTTGCATTACGTATGATCACTTGTTGCAGCAAGACAATGGCATGGACTGGCTCAACGATACCCTGTGGGTATACCATCCTCATATCCTTTTCTGCTGGATTACTAGTCTAGCTTCCACGCTACTCTAGGAGAGACAGATTTATTGGCTATTGCTGTAGTTGAAGCAAAGAGCCTTCACAATGAAGTAGAAAAAGTATTAATATCTATTTAGATCTCATAATGACAGGGAGAGTTCAACAATTGTTAAGTGAGAAGAAAATGAAGATAGCAAAGAAAGTATTCTGATGCATTGTTGTCCACAAAGTCCTTTTCTGTGTTTAGACACTAAAATAGCAAAAGTCCACTTTGAAGGTTGACTTTATCTGTTTGTTATAATATTATGTTATTCAGCTGTTGAGTTAAATAACATAATGGGACCCAAGATAGCTTACAACATAGTAGAGCAATGTCCAGTTAAAACCTTAGTATAGCTATTTCAAACAAGTGTAAAGCCAATTAAATAAGCAATTCTATTAATAACACAGTTAAAACATTTTAAAACACTTAAGGCACAATTCAAACAAAAGCACAGCACAATATATTAAAAGGCCTTTCTGCCACACATGTTAAAAAGACGACAGTCTCTGTATGCAGAATTAGGTTTAACACAGCAGTGAGGGCCAGAAAGCATAAGCTGAAATGAAAGTGAAGCAAAATCAGATGATCCAAAACAAACAGAACATCGGAACTGATAAATTTCATTTCAGTATGAATGGAAGCAGTGAGAACTCATCATTTTAGGCCTATTCTGATTCTGTATGCTGAGCTGGGCTTTGCATACACTATGTTAGATCGTTATTTTAGACAGGGGGAGAGCTTTGCATTCTGTATTTGACAAGATGGAAATAAAAGTGATATGTTTTCTTTCATAGGCCTCTATTTAGACATTGTTAGTTATCTCAACGTGTAAGGTACAAATGAGGTAAAATGTACTTTTTCATTAAACCAGTTGAAGTTGGTGGAGCAGCATGTGAGCATGTGAGTCTACAAGTGTCCCAAAGCTATTTGTGAAGTGAAACTATTCTGTGACACTGAAAAGCTTTTGCAAAACACTTACTACCTTGTAATCCAACGGTTGCATGCTGCTGTTAGAATTATTTAGGAAGGCTGAAGGGACAAAAAACCACACATTTTGCTAGGTAATCATTGGATCAAGAGCCCCATAGAAGGGATTTCCCTTAACACCAGTCCACCAACCAGCTTCTCTACTGCAAAGAAGAAGAAACGAGATGATGGGATACGGGAGCATGTTACAGGCTGTGCGCGAAGTGAAGGCTACTACAAAATCGACAAGAAAGATAAGCTAAAATACCTCAATAACAGCCGTGCATTTGCTGAGGAGCCTCCAGCCGATACACAGGTGGGACATCTCCCTCCTTGCTGCCAAGTGGCTATGCTTTGGTCAGTTTTTTGCCTGTGAGGTTTAAGAATTCCCCAAGATGTCCAGCCTGTGATATCTACCTGGAGAACAAGGTGGACAGTGGGAGGAGTGATCTTCTTGGGTAGACCTCAGTTCCTGTTGTACTGCTGAACCAGAAGAGCCGAACAAGACTAGGAAGAGAGTGGTCAACAATGTTCAACGGTGACAGAGAAACAGCCCTCTGGAAGTGTAGGCAGTTATTGCATTGGTTCATTTGCAGATAGAATTAGGGTTTTTTTTATAGATATAGAGGGGACAAGATAAGTAACCCCCATGTTAGCAAGACAGCTTAATTAGCTGATACCTGACCATCCATACCTGAACTTAGCCAGCCTGAACTATATATAGAGTCCTTCTGCAATCTTGATGGCAAACATGACTGGAACCAGGGGTGACTCAACCCATTACGCAAAGTAAGCATTTGCAGTACAGTTGATTTTGCCCAGGGGCGCTCTGAAGGCGCTCTTGGGGGAAAATAGACCTTGACATATGCGAGTTGTAGTTACTGAGATGTATAGTTCACCTACAATCAAAAAGCATTCTGAACTCCACCAATGATGGAATTGAATCAAATATGGCACACAGAACTCCCACGACAAACAGAAAATATATATCAGTGATTGGTTGGGGGGGGGGGGGGGGGGGGGGGGGGGGTGTGCAAAATACTGCTTGCTTACCATTGAAAGTTACCTAGGGCCGCCTCTGACTGGAACCAAACCTTTTGAGCAACTTTCTAACCCTTCCCTGGCTCTGTTTTCCTTCTCAGGGAATGAGCATCCCTGCCCAGATCCATGTTTCCACCCGAGCAGGCTCTGAGAGGAGGTCAGAGCAACGTAGGCTCCTGTCATCCTTCACTGGCAGTTGCGACAGTGACTTGCTCAAATTCAACCAACTCAAGGTAAGTTGTACTGCTTCCTCACCCTGACCACGGCCCTTGCTGGTCAGTAACCTGTTTGTCATCCAAAGGGCTATGTTTTGGTTAAACCATGGCAAGAAAGGAGTTGGGAAGTCTTGAACTAAGTGACAGCAATGTCTGTTAGCCTTGTAAAAGGAAGTCTGCAGGTCCCTCTGAGAGGAGAGGCTTGAAATGACAGGGAAGGTTTGTGGCCCAAATGAAAACAGCTTCATAAACAGTTCACAATAGTTTTGCCTTTCTTTCTCATCTCTTTTGCAACATAGTTCCGAAAGAAAAAGCTAAAATTTTGTAAGAGTCACATTCATGACTGGGGACTCTTTGCCATGGAGCCGATTGCTGCTGATGAGATGGTGATCGAGTATGTGGGCCAAAACATCCGGCAGGTAAGCCCAGAGAATACCCCTAGTACCGTAGTGTGTTTGCATGTGTGTATGTATGTGAGAGAAAGAGCACAATAAACGTAACTCATACATGCTGAATACATACTGACTCCTGTCTTATTGTGCAGGTCATTGCAGACATGCGAGAGAAGCGATATGAGGATGAAGGCATTGGGAGCAGCTACATGTTCAGAGTTGATCATGACACAATTATAGATGCAACAAAGTGTGGAAACTTTGCCAGATTTATTAATCACAGTTGCAATGTAAGTATTCCTTGGCTTCACAAACGTCAGATTTCCTCTTATAAGGAACACCTGTTATGTACTTGGCTTTGTAGTACAGTGTTCAGTTGGGGGAAGGGGACTGTTCTCCTTTCCCTTTTGCTTTGGGAGACAAGAGCCTGGACTGATGCTGCATTTGGGAGAAAAGCCATATTGTATTCCTGATTTACCTGACACGTCTAGGAGAGTTGTGTTCAAAAGTTGATGGCATAACTCTAGAATGTTCCAAGTGACATGCTACCCTTCTTTGTATGAGCTCATAGATGGCCATGGCACAAGGCACAGTTACAGCCAATCAACCTGCTCATACGCAGAAAGGGAGATTTAAGTTGATTTCATGCCTTGTTTATTTTTCCCTCCTTCAGCCAAATTGCTATGCTAAAGTCATCACAGTGGAATCCCAAAAGAAGATTGTCATCTACTCAAAGCAGTACATCAATGTGAATGAGGAAATCACTTATGACTACAAATTCCCCATTGAGGATGTCAAGATCCCTTGTTTGTGCGGTTCAGAGAACTGCAGAGGGACCCTGAATTAAAGCCCAAAGTTGTTTGCCACATGTTGGCTGTGTCCGGATTGTGGTAACCAAGGCGGTTGCACTTTTGCCAAACGAGGAGGAGGTAGAAGCAGAGGAAGGGGCAGGAGAGACATCCACCGGATGGCACGGTCTGTCCATCGGTCAGGAGAAGTGCAAATTGCAGACGCACACTAAGACTCTTCAAGCTACAGGTGCTTTCCCCCCTTGAACCCAGCGCTCCCCTCCCTGGCAAATAGCTCCCATTATGCAGTGGCACCATAAATCAAAACACTATCCCCCTCTCTCGCTCACTCCATAATGGCACAGCTCTCATGGGTATAGTAAGGTACCTTTGCGTCATTCAGAAACGTTCCTTTTTACATAAGACGCTGCTACCTTTTTGTCATTAATTTTGTTTTTAGGGGTGGAGGGAGTGAGGGAAAGGCATTCAGCTTTTTTAAAATGTGAAGGGTGGGGGGCAGGTATCCCTAAATGGATTGGAAGCTAGCCGGCATAGCTGTTCAATGAACATCAGGTGCTTAGGCTCCAGGGCAGGCTGGGGATTTCTGTTTGAGTTTGTGGAGCACACTTGTCTCTTCTCCCATCTCTTGATCCAAGGAAGATCCAAAATACCGAAAGACGTATATCTTTGCCTTCTCAGTGTTCCTGTGTACTCTGCTAGTGTACTTGTGGAGTGAGTGGGAGAAACTGTTGGTTGTGCTAGAGTGATAGTGAAGAGGACCCTCACTTTTCCTTTTCAAAAGAAAAGCAGCATTTGTTTGTTTTTCCTTCACTGTAGCATTGCTTTTTGCTGTAGAAGTCTTTGGCCCACCAGTTCCAGTCAGGCATCTCCTCTTCTTCTCTGTGAGGCTTCCTGAAAAAGCCAGCACAAACCTGCTCCAAATGAAGCAGAAGGATTGGGCTGAGGGGCATCCAAACCCAAACCAAAGGCAACACTTTTGCCCTTGGTGCTTCTCCACCATCAGCACTTCCTAGTGTGACCCTTTAATAGTCTCCTTAAGCACTATCCCCATAGGTTTGTGCCTCGGTACTCTGAAGGTGTCTTGAAGGTTTTGTCATTCTTGGCCAACTGAACAGTGTCGTCCTTGGTGGCTAAAGTCCTGCTTGTTAGTATTCAGTTCAGCCGCTTTTGAAGGTGAGTGCACTGCGAGGGGAGCAGCTCTTTTATGGCCTGAAAAAGCAATACTTTTTTTATCCTGACTTACTACAGCAAGCAAATTGTATAGTCAAAATAAGGCTTCATTTGAAATCATGACTCCTAAATCAGATTATGGCCTGTGTTCCAACAATGACAAGCTGAATGAGTTTTTTAAAATTGGAATTGCCACCCAAGCAGATAAATTTTATGTTTGAAACTACAAATCATGTAGCAAGGCAGTCCCTTTAAAAATTGGTCCAGGTTTGCTGAGAAAGTATCAAGGTAAGCAAATGTTGAAACGTTTGCTCTTTTTTCAGTACTTGCCTGTCTCTTGCTCCAGGAATGAATTTACTGGACTTTAAATGTAGTTATACTTAGGAGGAGCTTGCTAGAGAAGAACAGGGCATGTCTCAATGCTGTCTTAATCCAATTGGCCTCCTCTTCCCCTCCCCAAGCAGGGCTAGCATTTGGCGTCCTGCATTCTCTTGATGGGACCTTCCCAAAGCACTTCCCATAAGGTCGTAGGATTTTCCTAGCAAGCCCCTCTCATCGTGGCCTGTGCCTGCTTTACAGCATTAAAAAGTGAATGGACTTCCCCCTTGCAAGACTTCAAGGGTCTAGAGGAAGACGGAAACTCTGGTGCCTTCTCGTGTTTTCTAGCCGAGGCACTTCATTTGACCGCGGGTTTGCTCAGTCTGTATTAACTTGATTATAGAAGTGAAATACCAGATTGGGAGCAGCTGGGTGGACTCCCAAGTATCTTGTTTCTTTGATACAATTTTCTGCCTTCTTACGACGCCTCTCGTGTTGTGTTGTCTAGTCCCATGCACCTGGACTTCCCATTCTCTCTCATGCCCATCCATGAGTGCAATCTGCGTGGAGTGTCTCCACGCAGGCGGGCTTAGGGACGCTTGGGCAAGAGCAGTGTCTGGCGAGTGGGCGCTTCATCCAGCCCTTTTTTCTGTGAAGCCAATGGTTTGGGAGCCAGGCTCCCTTCAACAGTCACAACAGCACTAGGACTACTGCGGTCTCTTGTGTTCTGTGAGTTAATTTGAGCCAGAACCTGAAACAGCTTCTGGGTGTGTGTCAGCCATGGCGCACACCACCCCAGGGACTAGCCTGGCAGTGATCAGGGCAGGAGGGAAGCAATGTTCTCCCGGACCCTTCCCTGGCTTTGGTGGGAGAGGGGTCCTAACCTATTTGCCTGCCTACGCACAAGCCTATCCTGACTCCAAACTCAGAGTCCATGGGCACTCCTCATACCCCGGGGTGTGCTTTGTCCCTTGAAGGGCAAGAACTCTGGCAAGCATGTGGTCAGCTTCTCTGTTGCCGGCTCAGACGAGGGTCAGGGCTACTTCCCGAGAAGAGCTTTCCGAAAGGAATAGCAGCTCAGTCTTGAAAGAGGCACTGCAGCTGCAGAAGTGACCTGGGCCCTGCCGCAACCCTCCCACCCCAGAGGAGTGCCAAAGCTTTGACAACCTACCCAGCGGCCTTGTCTTTGAGGCTCCGAGGAGGGCAGGGGGTCAGCTTGGCATCCACAGAGGTGTCCTCCCTGCCAACCTCCTCCAGCCAGGGTGGCTCTGTGCTTTGGAGACCAGCCTGCTTGGTTGCATACAATCATTTCTCTCTTCCTCGTTTGAGGTTAAACTGTCGGGGTTCAGAAGGAGCCAGTCCCAGAACCAATCTTTTCATTATCAAAGCAGCTTGTTTCTACAATGGGGGAGGAGGATATAATTTTTAAATTTGGATGGAAAATTCTGTCTTGTTATTTGTGACCTATATTCAGGGATCATTTCAGTGCTTTTCTGTATAAAATGTTTTGTTTGTTTTTTTAAAAAAGAGGGAAAATGAAAATTTTGACGTTTCAAATGGACTCATCATCTGTACATAAGCACCGTTCCAACTCTTCTCTTCAAACACTGTTTCTTGTAGAAACACGTTGATTTGGGTTTTTGTTTGTTGGGAGGGCTGTTTCCTTTGTACTTTGAAAGCATGTACATAATTTGTTAAAAGTGACTATTGTAGTTTGGAGTTCTTTTTTAAAAGATTGCCTGGCGAAGACCTCAAGGAGAGAGTGGACCTTTGGGAGCATGACGCACTGAGGGAATGTGCCGGCACCGTTTACAGCTTGTGTCAAGCTATGTATAATGTAAATTCTGTACAAACAACACTTTCTTTTTGGTCAGATACATAGATCAAACTAGAAGCATTAAGAAGCTGAAGAATTTTTTAAAAAATGCCAAGTGGAGGCTTTTTTTGTTATATGCCTTTCGGATACCTTAACGTGAGAAATCTATTTATTTCAGACAAGAAAAATGTGTATAGTCTATTAATGACAACCTAAAATGTATTTAAGCAAAACTGCAACTTTTGATTATTTTTTCCCAAATTTCATTTATTTCATAATGTTCCTTCTCAATTACCAATGTAGTATTTGTAGAAATGACAAGGAAACTGTGTCAGTCCCGCTCTGGCGCTCAGTGGTGTTCCTGGGCCCATGACTTGCTTGCGGAAAGGGAGGAATAATGCCCTGCTCAGGGTGGCACATGCCACCATGGGGCTCTCTGCATCTATTCAATGGGAGCACTTGGGAGTGGGAAGTTACTTGGGAGGGGAAAAAAGGAGACACTAAATTCAAGGGGTACTTCCTCCAAGGAAAAGCTGAGGTGGGAAAAACGTCAGCCCTTCTTTTCCTGTTTCATAACTTCTGGAAAGACCCCAGTTTTTACTTCACAGTATATAAAATAGCCTCCTTCAAAAGGGGAAAGGAAAATGGTTTGCAATAAATGGCATCTATTTTTGTGTTCATTGGAAAACAAAACCAGAATTAAATATCTTGCCTTTGAGATTTAGGGTTTTTTTTTTTAACAATTTCTGCTCCTTTTTCTTTTCAACAACTGTATAAATTTAGGACCGTTCCGTGCACCTAGGCGCTGTCATCAGTATGTACCTTGTTTTGAAGAACGTGGGTTTTTCTTTTTTTGTTGTGGGTGTGTCATGCTGTAAATATTTGTTCATATTTTTTTGTGAATTGAATACTATGTACCATTGTATTATAGTAACTTTTATAAAGCAAACCATAAATATACTGACCTTTCTTACAAAAAAAGACCCCCCTGTGTTTGGTTCATTGGTGCCACAATCATAATTCATGTAAGGACTTAAACATAAAAGCGCATAGAGGGGAAGGGCTGCCTTTCACCTTTAAAGGGATCCCTCAGTGTCCCTGAAGAAAAAATGTTTGAGTATGTGTCTTTGTCAAAGCAAAGATTGCTGTGAGGCAAACGCTCTGGAAGAGGCTCAAAGGCCCATTGGGGCAGAACATTGGAGTCAATGGGAGAGAGGGTCTCCAAGTAAATAAAGGAAGACCACCAGGCACCTAGAGCTGGAAACAATTTCACATGAATTCTGCAGGTGGAACTATGTTAGGCACCTCCAGGACCTGCAATTTTGCTGCAAGGGCCCCCAATGTAGCCAAAAGGTCTGGGGCATAGCCAAGCGCCTCCATGATTCCATGTTCCATTAGTCACAGAGTGGCTATTGACAGAGACTATCATCTCTTTGGTCACAGGAGAATGGAAGAAAAGGCCATCTCTTGTTACAGCCCCAGAAAAGCTTTGGGCTCATGGCCCCAAGTGCTTCTAAGCCGAGCATAAATGCAACAGCCTTCCTCCCATAGTCTCTCTCCATTCCCTCAAGCAATGGCAAGGGGTTGGATCAATGGTTCTTGTGGTCCCTTTCAACTCCCCGAGTCAATGAAATGACTCGTGAATAGGAAATAGTGCAGTCTGAACCTCATGGTCTTTTGCGAAGGTGGCAACTGCTCTCTGTCCTCAGCTCTTAGGCAGGATCAGTCATGACCAGAGACAGAGGTGGGAGGTGTTTGACCAGCAGAAGTTGGGAAAGGTCATCAAAGGAAGGGATGCTCCCAGCCTTCTGCCCCTGGCAGCTGTCATCCCACTGCCGCAACTACTAAGAGTGGAAGGAGAAGGGGGGAATGCCAGTTTCATCCATACAAGCCTTCCTGACAAATGCTTGGATCAGGACCAGACACGTTTGGTGGTGGCTTGTTTTCCCCCAGCCAATCTTTTCAGAGGATTCTTGCTCTAATGGACCCAGAAAGAAACCTTTTTGCTTTGAATCTTTTTATTTGATAAAAACAGGCCAGGGGGGAGATGACTTCTGGATTTTTGCTGCAGAAGACTTGAGTGAGATCAGTTTTGCCACTGCTTGCTTACTGCCTTCTGGTGGGACCCAAGGATCCCCTCTTCTGTGGGATATCACATGACAGTGGAGTCTCCGCTGGATGTCAGGATGGTGAGGTTTCCCCGGGCGTCCTGGTCTGCTTCAATTGCTTCAAACAAAGACTTGAAATTCCCAGCACCAAATCCCTAAATGAAGAGAATATGGTGGGATTATTCCCCCCTCTTTTGTATGGTTGAGCTATAGATCTGCTTAGGCTCCTGTGGTTCAGAAAGCCAGGATTTTTAAGGCAGATTCTCCAGCTGCAAGACTTCCCCCTCTGCCAGACTCCTCTGAAAAAGAGGGTGAGAAAGCCAGGCAAACAGAAGGGCGGCTTTGCGCCTTGCTTATGGCCTCAGCTGTCACGGCGGCTTCTCCCTAGGAGTCAGTTGTTCTTATTCAATAGATGACAAAACTTCATTTATGAATCTTTCATTCTTCCTGTGAACAAACAGGAGTGTGATGTTTCTCATTTCCCTCCCATTTATCCATCTGCACATTGTTGATGGCCCTTAAAGTGTGATGCTTGCACTTTGGTTCTCACAGTTCTATCCTGTGGCATCCTGAGATTTGCAGTTTAGGGAGAAGGTTTCAGAATTCTCAGCCAGAGACCTTTAGTATCACCCCAAACTACAAGGCCTGAGGAAACAGTCATGGCAGCTAAAGTGGAGTCCAAGGGCCCCCAGAAGTCTAACATTATTCAGAGTCCTATTTCTCAATGCCTGCCTGGCTAATGGCTCCCTCTAGTGCTGGCACAGGCATTTACATTCCCAATTTCCTGGAAAAAAAGGCTGAACCTAAAGCAGACAGGTTGGGAAGGCCCCCTTGAGCTGTAGTCCCTACTCAGTATTTTACAGACATTTTAAAAACTAGAAGTATCCTCTCTACTCCATAAGAGGGGAGCGATTATGCTATGATTTTGAGGCTCTCTGGCTGTTTTCAGTGGAAACAAGGGCCTTATTTATGCTTATTTGTTCTTTTATTTTCGGTTGACTTTTAGTTTACTTCCTGATTAAATGCAGGCTGGGCATAAAATAGGATGGGAGAGTAGAAACATGGCACAACTGAGCCCTGATGCCCTCTTCCTGCCATCTGTGACAGAGATTTTGTTCAGCCTAGCCTGGAGCAAACCCTGGAACCCAAACCAACCTGGTGGTTGTAGCGCTGTATGACCTCCAGGAAGACCGTAGGCCTGTCCTGAACAGGCTTGGTGAAGATCTGGAGTAGGTATCCCTTCTCGTCAAAGTCCACTAAGATTTTGAGCTCCTTCAAAACAGGAAAAGAAAAAGCACAACGGCTAGTCATTTTATAAGAGGGCACAGTGATGATTTTCAAAAGCATCTTTACAAGTTCAAGGAAATATTCTTCCTCTTCCTGCCTTCCTCACAGCTCAGACCATGGCGCAAACCATTATTCCGCACCACAATGTGTAGTCTTGGCTGTAGTACCTGACGTGGCTCAGGACAATCAGCAACCATTCCTAAGGACCACCCTGAAGGAGGAGAGCATGGAGTGCTCTTCAGTCTTCCCAAATGTGGCATTCTGTTTTGGGATTTCACACACCATAACACTTCCATTCAAACTGTCATCAGTTGACATCTAAAATCTCGTCAGGCTGTCCCAAGCAATAATATAATAATATATAATAATAAAACTTTATTTCTAGACCGCCCTCTTTCCCAAAAGGGACCCAGGGAGGTTAACACACAATTCCCTCCAAATTTGCTGAAAATCCATTTTTGTATGAAGCAGGTAACAAACAGATAAAAGCTTAACTTTACTGAGACTGAGAAGCCTGTCACCCAACTGACCTCCAGTTTAGTGATGTTCTCCTTCACCTTGATCTTGGCTGATTTGAGCTTCTCTCGGAGTTGCTGGTAGTAAGTGGATGGAACCGACATGAACTCAAGGCCCCGTGCTTTCAAGTTGGTAATCTACAAGAAAGGGGGTACTTTTGCCATCGTGCAGGTCATTTCAAAAGTAACCCATTTTTTGGTGGGCATGTGGGGAGGAAGATCCCATGGATAGCTCTTACCGCAGCAATTATGTCGGAAGTATTTAGTGCAATGTGCTGGACTCCAGGTCCCCCGTAATAGTCCACATATTCCTGCGGAATACAAGAAAGGACAAAGGGCATCTACAGAGATAGCGGCCACAATCCTAACACGGTGCTAATCTTGCTATATGTGGTGCTACACATGAAGGCCAGCATCCTGTTACAGATCTGAAGGCATGCAAGTGTGCGTTACAAACATATCTGCTTTTTAAAGTCATGACCAGGGGGAATCCCTTGCTCTTCAGTTCTTTCCTCAAACCATGTCCTCAGCTACACACTAGCTCTACATACAGGCCTCTGTGCACAATTCTGATTCATTTCAAGCGGTGATCTCCCCCAAATATAGGAAACCTGGCTACTTTATTTCAAGAAAAAGCTATCTTTCCCTCCTGAAAAAAAACTTGCCTGCTTTAGCTAGAGACCCAGAGGTCCAGACTTTTACCTGAATTTGAGATTTCTTCTTGCCCATTGCAGGCTCATTAATGGGCATCTTAATGGTCTCTTCATAATTGGCCACCACAATAGAGCGGAGAGCACTGAATGCTGTGTGAACCTGCTTATCGTCCACTGACCAAAAACGGTGGAACAAGAGATTTTTCTGGTACCTATGGATGTGCAAGAAATGCAAAAGACGGTCATAAAAGAGAGTTGCAGTACACAAGTAAACCTTGGCTATCTCAACAAGTTGGTGTCTCTAAATCAATCTCTTCTTTTACGAAAAAGGGCCTGAAGCTCATGAAATCAGTATTTAGGCAGAACGCAAACACAATTAACGTCAAATTTCCCTTATTGCTATCGTGAAAACTTGGCAACGTTATTATTATTATTTATTTATTTACAGTATTTATATACCGCCTTTCTGCCGTTCTCCCAACAGCTTTTCCCAACCCATGTCCCTTTGCGCATGACTGGGGATAAGGAAAGCTTCACTCAAAACTATCTGAGGAGATCTGGGAGAAGGAAGGCTGCTCTCAGCATCCTGTGTGGCCTCAAAGTAATCTCGGGGGCTGCAGAGTGGTTTGCATCACTTCACATGAAATGGATCTCACCAGGAACACTCACCAGTCTGCCACAGAGACCATCTCCTGATCAGGTTGGTTGCCCACCACGTGGTCAATGAAACTCAGCTTTGCTGGTGGTCTGCAAAGGAAATGCAGATGAGATCAGAAGTTCCATGACGAGTCGCTTTAGTGCGTCGCACAATTACTTGTCAGCCATGACCAGTGATTCACATACACTCAACTACATTTATATGCCATTCGCTTTACGAAAGACCTGCTTCTGATGCAAATGAAGCCTCCAGGAAAAAAAACAAAAAAACAGATGGATGGATGGAAGGAACGAAAAACAACACAGCCACATGTGTTTTGGACTCTTCTTGTGGGTGTTGCTGTAAGGATTTTTTACTGACCAAATCCTGCATTTTAACATTTTTCCCAACACCACTGTTGCTCTGTCTTCACTGAACCCTCTGGGCTTAATTCCTCCTAAGGAGCAAGTACTGGACTTTTCCAGGATACGTAGAAACGTTCTCTGATGCAAAGATGGAAGCATTTTGGCTACACATAGACCTCCAAACTCACTGCCTGGGTGCTGGGAATAGTGGGAATGACTAGAATCAGCCTTGAAATACTTACAGTGTTTTTAACAGGGGATCCTTAAAAAGTGGAGGCTCAAACCCAGGCAGGAAAAAGCCTTTATAGCCCAGCTTTTCGATGAGGGTGTGGGTGGTGTCTCCATACTAGATGAAGGAAGGAGGGAAGGCCAGAATGTGAATGACCCTCCTGGCAAGTGGGCCAATCCCATCCAATTAGGAACCAAACCTAGAAGACCAACCCTTTTAACTTTCTTACCGTCTGAACAATGGCATATTTCACTTTCCCATATTTATCTTCCTCAATCCAGGGCTCTTTCACTATCTTGGCTCCACGCTCTCTAGCTTTCTGATGAAAGAAGAAAGACAGGAAGGAAGGAAGGAAGGAAGGAAGGAAGGAAGGAAGGAAGGAAGGAAGGAAGGAAGGAAGGAAGGAAGGAAGGAAGGAAGGAAAAAAGAAAAAAGATATCAGAAATCAGAAATCAGAAAAAAGAAAAGGCATTTATTGGAGAATGCACGAGCAAAGGATAGCAAGTTTCTGAGTTCTGCAGAAACTTGCAAAGGTCAGCAAGTGCTGACCTCGGCTGTGGTTTACCTGCACAATGAATTCACAGTCCTCTACTTCAAAGGCAATGTCTTTGACTCCATCTCCATGCTTCACTAAATGCTCTCCCATGTCTGCATAATGAGAAAGCGAAGCAAAACCACAAGACAGTTTCATGGTGGAGAAAATCATCAGAGTTGCCCCAAAACGAAACCTGGGTGAGTTCTTTAGACTACAGTTCCCCACATTTCCCAAAGCAACTGACAGCTAAGAAAGTAATGGTCATAATAAAAACAGTATTTATTTATTTATTTATTTAGTACACTTGTATACCGCTAATATCTCAGCCTGAGGCGGCGACTCATTGCGGTTTACAATATTAAAAACAACAATATTCCAATTAAAAATATAAAACACATACATATACAATACACAGTATTGGGCCACCAATACAGACCAATGCATCTCTTAACTTAAAATCATAATCCAATTTCGTTGTCTGCGATTACCAGTCCTTGATCAAAAACTTCATCGCATCGGATTAACCGAATGCTTGCTCGAACATCCATGTCTTCAGTTTTTTTCGAAATGCCATCAGCGAGGAGGCTGATCTTATCTCTATAGGGAGGGCATTCCAAAGCCGCGGGGCCACCACAGAAAAGGCCCTATCTCTCGTTCCCGCCAGCCGCACCTGTGAAGCAGGTGGGATGGAGAGAAGGGCCTCTCCCGAAGATCTTAGGGTCCTGGCGGGCTGATAGGCCGAGATACGTTCGGATAGATATGTTGTAAGAATCATTACGTATTTTGATGACAACACTAACAAGACAGACATGTGGAAAGGTGAAAACAAAATGTAACTATCCCATTAGAAACAGCAATTAAAAAAAACCTGGGATGAGAGCAGGTAGATAAAACTGATCAAGCACCAATATATCTTGCATGAACAAGAAGGAATGTAGCTCTTCTAGTAACAAAAAGAGCTACTCTGAATAGGCTGGAATTTTACCTTGATTTCCGGGATTGAGAGCAGAAGAGAAGACAAAGATTATCTGGAAGAAATGAGAACAGGAATGAAGTGGAGCTGTGGAGGTCACATGATTGAAGGAACTATACAAAATCCCATGGCAGAGGTACTGGAGATGTCATGAGGAGAGGGCAAAATGGGGAGAGATCCCCTCCAAAAAATGCTCTCTCTCTAAATGAAATTCTTCATCAGCTAGATTTGGGGTCAAAGAGGTCAGAAGTGTTTCTAAATGCAATTATTCTGTGTACTATTCATGCTCTTTGCGAAAATTTGCATTTTGGATACATTTTAAAGATGATTTGTTTTGCCTGCTTTTTGTTGTCAGAATGTTGTTGTACCATCTTCCTGACATCACCAAGGCAGTATGCAAAACAGAAGTATCAAACCCAAAGACAACAGGCCGTCAAAAACAATGGCCCAACTCCAACGAGAGTAGATCCATTTGATAAATGAGAGCTTGGGACGAACAATTGGATTTAGAGCTGAAAAACAACATCTGCTTTGGCAGTAAATGGAGAAGATAAATGTGCTCACTTACCCTGCTCTAGAAATCAGCTTAAAATACTTGGGCTGAGAAATCCGTTTTGATTTAGCATCATAAAGAATATCATGTTGGCACCACTAACGGCTTAATATAAAACCCCATCTCTTCCCATTCGAAATCTCCATCCGTTGTCTCCTCTACTGCTTACATTCAAATAAGTGAAGTGTCTCCTTGCCTTGCTGTCTCACCTTGTCTTGCTTGATCACATGGGATGCTACCTCCCGGCTCCCTGTCTCCAGACCTCGATAGGCAAATTCTTCAAACCCCATTTTGTTGCAATAAAACGAGGCGGCCTTCCAAATATACAAACAGAGATATGTCATTTCGGTTCAGGTATTCCCAAACCCTCTCACAGCCCAAAGCAACATTGAAAGTGGCCCATTTTCCTTTGCTTCCTGTGCCTGCTGAATGTCTCTAGATTTGCTGTAAGTTGCCCAGGAGAATAACGGAGATTAATGATTTCTCCAGAGAAATATGATGGGTAAGTTTTGTATTAGTTTATTATATTTGTGGTGTTTGGATATGTTCTTTAATTTTCTAAAACCTTTTAATTGTTTATTGTACTGTTTGATCATGATTTTTTTTCCCCTTTTGGCTATAACTTGTATTTGGTTGCTGAATAATAATAAAATTGGGATTGGGAATTGAACAACATATTCCAGAATCTGAGTGGAGGGTCTGTGGAGTTGCAGTCCCTAAAGGGAACTTTTTGTAGTTGAAGTCCACATCTAGCAAATGAAATAAGGATGCTTTCCAGACTCTGATCACCAAGGCGACAGGCCAATGTGGGTCTTAGGAAGCTTGGCGGCTGCCGTCTTGCTTTCTCCCCTCCCGCTCTTGGGTCAGCAGTCCCACCCCACATACACGCCCCATGGCCTCCCAGCAAACAACCGAGCCCAGCCTCTTCTGGGTTGCATCAGGCAAGTCCAAAGACCAGTCTCCTGCAACCAAAGCCATTCACTCATGTGTTAAACACACTCTCCGCAGCCCAACAACCTGTATACCAATTGTTCATTCAAAGTCAGACACTCCTCCCCTGCCCCCCCCCCATCAGTGTGCCATGCCCCTTCTCAGCAACCAATGGCTCTGCTGTGCGCACCCCTGCCACAACACACCCACCCGGGGTTTCAAGCCAAAGCATAGGGATTCTGGAGGCTCTTCACCACAAAGGCTTCTCAACCTGAGTCTCACCTGCTTGGCATTTCCAACCCAGAATGTCAAGGAATGGAAGTGGAGAAACCGGCCTCTCTCCGGCTGAAAAGGGGAAGGAAGAGGAGTCAAGAGTGGCTCTTGAGCATTGGGAGGAAGCAGTACACGGAACAGGCCATAGCCTCAGAATCCAACTCAGAACCACACCTGGCTGTCCTTTGATGCTTCCCGGACCTCCAAGTGTCCTGTGTATGGGAAGCCAACCATTTGGCAATTGAGCCTTGCACTATGGACAACTGTCAGGGGTTTTCCAATGCCCTAGAACTGGGGAGACAATATCAATACTCGGGATCATTGTAGGTCCTCAAAGTCAACTTGTTTTTGAAAGATATACCCTCCAATGGTTTGGAAGCAGCAATCCTAATTTATCCTCTGCCGTCCCACGTTTTAGCAGCTTGAAAATTATCCCCTTTTTCCTCTCCTCCTCTGCCTCTTTGCCCTTTGACCTTGGCTTACTTCAGTTGCTGCAAACCAAGCTCAAAGTGCAAGAGCATTTGGAGCTCAAGTAACTAACTAAACATGGCTTTCTCCGATTTTAAGGATTTCTGCAACTACCAACCCCAGGATTTGATAGAAGGAGACACAGCAGTTAAAACGGGATCCAACTGCTATAAATGTAAAGTGCGGGTGCATCCTTTCTCGAACTTGAGATGGTGACGGTTTTGATTGATTGATTGATTTTCAACACTAACAACTAAATATCTAATCAAAATGATATCTATTTTAAAACAAAAGAAACAGAAGGAAGAAAAGGGTGAAAGAAAAAAAGCACTGATCCTCTACTCCTGATTGTAATGGGGATAATTTTTTAAAATATTATTATTATTAATACCCCACTTTTTCTCTCCAAAAGGAGACTATTCTACCATTCTATTATTCTACCATTACAGATCCAGCTAAATAACCCTACTAAAATTACTAACAACCATTGAAAGATTTCTCATTGCTCAACACATGCGTAAAGGATTTCCAATATTTTTTAAAAAAATCTTTAGTTGGCATATTCTTGGAAACCCACATTAATGTCACAATTTGGGCGAACTCTGCAATCTTAACAACCCATTCTTCCACTTGGATTATAGAAGTTGTAGTAAAAAAAGGGCACATGTTTGGCTGTTCTCCTTCGGCAGCTATCGGTGTCTTTTCTGAGAACTTTGGGAGCAATTTGATGCTCTGGTGCAGCACTTTTGAACGTACTTTAAAAGGTGAACTAATATAAAGAGGCACTTGTCCTTCTTGCCAGGAGTGCCAAACTTATTTTGTCATCCCTCTTAATAATAATACATAATATCTTCATTTATATCCATCTCCCAAAAAGGGGAGGGGGTGCAAAATTATATCCATATTAACAATATGGGGAAATAAAACATACATGAGCTATAGTCTTAAAGAAAGAATGTTCCCAAACTCTTTGTCCGGTTGACAAGCTTGGTGCTGGATTTGTTTGAAAAGGTCTTTCACAAGCGCTTTGATAACCTTGCCATGTTAAATATTAATTCTCCTAGAAAATATTGACCAAGCTGGACAGAGGGGATGAGCTAAAGAAGATAGGAGTGACGAGGGGCAATCTCTTATCTCCTTAAAAAATCTTTTAAAAGGGATATGTGTTTCCTTTGTGCCTTGTCCCCAAGATACCTGTTGCTTAAATGCCAGACTAAAGGGGCTCAACTTTGGAAGGTGATTCCATTGGATTCAACAGAAGGCCCCTTCCCCCAGGAAACAGCACACAATGTTAGCTTGGTTCATAGGAATCAGGACACAGTGCAGCTTGTTTAGCAAAGACACTGCTATTCTTTTTCAAAGTCATCACAGGATTGCACAGAGGACTTCTATTTTAGGGTAGGATCCAACCAAAAAAAGACTTGTTTCAGTGGGACTTGGAAATGCCTTTCCATGGGCTAGATTAGGGCTTATTTGTTGTTTAGTCTTTGAAAAAGTTGTATTGTTTAAGGTAGGACTTCGGTAAGGCATCTCTTCATTACTCTGCCACAATGGAGAACCAACACAAGATCAGAGCAAAACTGACGCATTTGATGGATGGGCTTCAAACTCGAAGACATTTCTAGCGCACACCTAAAATTGTAGACTATTATAGCTGCACAAATACATAATTCATCAAGGCACACCCAACAGATGAATTCAGAACTGCCTGCTTTGTCCAGGTGAGTGTACATTTTGCGGCTGGTGCCCATTTGTCTGGAATAATGTGGGGAAAAGCTTAGGTGGTGAGTCGATTCCTTCCTGAAATACAGGCATTCCCCATGTTACAAACAAGATAGGGTCTGTAGATTCATCCTTAAGTTTAATTTGTTTGCAAGTTGGAACAGGTCAAGCAAAAAGTGCACTCTTTGTAACTTGGCCAAAAAGCTGCACATTATAGTTTGTGTGTGATTTGAATCCCATTTAAAACAAAAACAAAAAAACAAAAAACACCAACCATAGAAATAGATAACCCTTCCCTCCAGAGCCTCTCCTGTTTATCCTGCCCCAGCTTCCTTGGGAGTGTGGAACGAATGCAGTTTGACACCACTTTAACTGTCCTGGTTCATTGCTATGGGATTCTGGGAGCTGTCGTCACAAGAGAATGCTGCCAGAGAATGCTGCCGCCTCAGTGAACTATGAATTCCAGCATTGCATAACATTGAACCAGTGCAATTAAAAGTGCTGTCAGAAAGGATGGAGAAATCGATAGGAAGAAAAGGGTTTTGAAAAGATATGGATAGGAAGAAAGAGGAAAAGGAGGTTTGGAAAGATCGATAGGAAGAAAGGGGGGAAGGGGTTTGGAGAGATCAATAGGAACTAAAAAGAAAGGGGTTGGAGGGAAAAAAAACATGCTTTGGCTCAGTAATAAGATTTCATAGCAGCGAGGAAGGGGAGATGCCCGTTTGAAACCATTAGTTGTACATAAGTTGTAAGTTCATAACTCAGAGACTGCCTCTACATAGGTTTAAATAGGAAACTGGTGTACTGTGGACTGTATTTAAAAGAGAAAAATGTGAAAATGATCAATGTTGCTATTATGCCAGCAGAGTTCAAACACCCAAAGAAAGGGCCAGGCAAAGGGACCAAGGGAATGTCCATAGAGCATACAGAAGTGTTCTATCACATGTAGAACCCAATTTCTCACTCTCTGTAATGTTTGGAATTTGGAGACCAAAGACAAATGTCTTTTCAAGACACAGACTTTGTATTGGGAGTCAATATCCTAATTTTGCCCCCTGATAGTTACACCCCTGGCTAATGTAATTTGCCTCATAATATAATTGACTGTGTGATGCTTTTCTAAGGGGGGGGGGGGACATATTTAATGTAAACTTCAGCTTACCTTCTGTCCTTTATCGGTGTAAGTTGTCTGCCAAAAAGAATAAAACAGAGACATTAACAAACATTTACATTATTGCACCCCCCCCCCCCAGTGCAACACATGAACATGTTCAATCCATGATGAATGGCCCAACTAATACTAGAGAATGGCAATAAAATAAAGATAGAAATGGTAAAAAATGAATGATTAACAATGTAGTAACTTAACCCGGCATGTGCTTGGTAGTTGTTGAAGAGTGAAACACTCATGTGATATGAGAGATTCTTCCCCAAAGAAGGCAGTCCAAAATGAACAGTCCTAAAGCCTAGTTACAATTTGTATAGAAGTTCAACATCTTACCATGTTTGTTGTCTGTGGGAGCAAAGGAGATGACACTGAGAGCGAAGGAGGGAAGGACGGCCAGGGACAGCGCCGAAATCTTTTAATACAGCCAAAGGGGGTGGACTCCACCCCATCTCCTCCTCCTCCAAATGGAAAATTTAAGCACTTTCACCGAAAAGATAGCATTGCCTTCCTATTGGCTCTCATCTCTTTGGCTACCAGAAAAGAGAAAGGGAGGAACGAGTTTGTATATGTGTGGACTGCAAAGTCACTGGGATGGGTTTGGCTTCAGACCTGACCTTGACAAGCTACTGTCACTCAACCTTTGCTCTTCACTTTGAACGGAAAAGTAGCAGCGGGCGGCCTCTCTAAGGCTGTTATAAAGGGCTATTGAACCAGTGTCGACTGGTGTATTGAACACACCTTTTAAGTACAGTTGTTGATATTGTTGCTAAAAGAGCCCGTATGTTTCAGCTACTTGTTGTTGTGATGTGGCTGCAGGTGGACGCTGAATTGTGGCAACCCTCTCCTATGTTTTTTTTTTTTTTTGATGAAATGTGCTCTGCTGAGGTTTGCCTTTGCCTTCCTTTACAGGTTTCTGTGGCTGAACAGGGATTTGATCTTAGGCCTCCTCCAGACCTAAATCAGCACTCAACTATCCCATGATGGCCCATGTGGAGTATTTATACCCATAAAATGAATGGTAACTTAGCAAGACCACACTTGGGTAAGAGCACATCTTCAAAAAGTCTATTTTAGTTGAGAATAAGAATTGGATTTTGATCCATATTGGTAATGATGCAGCTCTTCCAATCCAATAAGCCTTTATTGGCATTTACATAGCAAAGAGGTATAAAATACAGTACAAATAATAGAAAAAGGAACTTCACATTTGCTACACATTCAGTTTACAGACTTCATTCAGGAATTTTGCCACTGAAAGGCAGCAGTTAAAATCTTGACAATTTAAAAACATAATTACTTTGTCTGAGTCACAGTAGTTTTTCAAGGAATCTATAACATGTGGTAGTAAGCTAGATCTTAGATCCTGGTAAAGTGGGCAGTGCAGAAGAATATGCGGGATGGAATCCAGCTGTCCTGTGCTACAGGGACAAAGCCTCTTATTGCTTAGTAGACCATTGAGTCTTCCTCTATGGAGCGGAGATGGCATGATGTTAAATCTAGCCAGCATGTAGGCGAGGGGTTAGTGAGCTCGATGCAGCTCTTCCATTATAGTTCAAATCCAACATCACTCTCCCCTGCAGTTCAGGTCTTCATATTTAAGTAGAACGAACACAACATACACTCCATTTGTTTTCAGTTCTTTGAAAGACTTTCATCGTTGCTCATTAGCCGCACTGGCATCCCTTTGGACTTGCAGGACCTGTCAAGATCTGCAGTATCCACTCCTGCTTCCATTAATAATCTCCAAGCTTCCCTGAGTGATCTGATCTTGATATTGCTTCTGTTTTGACTCATTCTGTCACTTCTGAGAAGCCTTCTCCATCTAAGTCAAACATGATTGCGTCCAGCTTCCTTTGCAATCACCCTCTTCTGTATATATTGCCTTTGAGAACACTGGTTATGGTCACTGTTTCCAATTGGTTCAGTAGTCCCAATCGAGTCAAATCCATGGCCAGGTTAAGAGTCGGGGAGCCATTCTTTATTGCTTTCAGATTCTGGCTCATCCTGGAAGGCTGATGTCTCGACGGTACGCATTCAGGTCCATAGTCATCAAAAGATGCAAAAAAAAAAAGAGCATTGTCAATTACCCCTCCCTAAATACAAACATTTCATCACAATTCAAATGGAATCATAGTGCCAGGAATTGTGTCTTGTGAACGGGCCTTAAGAAGAATATTTCCTTCTGCCTCGTCTGCACTATTCACTTTTACCAATAGATGGTGCAACTTCTTTATAAGATGGGTATTCCATTTCATACTATAGGCATATTTGCACTCATAGTTAAAGCAATTCAATGCCATTTGTCATTGTTCCATGCTACATAAAGCAAGGATGTACAGTCAGGCAGACAGTGAGTTGGGATTCTCCATAGAAAGGCTTTGTAGGAGAAAACACAAAGTTCCACAACAAACTCATCAGTGATCCCTTGTGACCAAGTCTGATTATCTTCCAAAGTTAGATCCGTGAATGACTGGATACGGACGTTCTTTCTTTCACATTTAGGATTTAGGTTTCGAGGTGGAAGGCAGTCCTGACAAAGGTTTGCTTGAAGCGCCTTCTTCCTCTTGACATGTTCCTCGCTTTCACCCTCTATTTCTGCTTCTTCAAAATCCATGGAATTGTTGGCAACTGCTGACCTCCATTCAACGCTCGGAGGCCAGGCCTTTTCAATTCTCTCTCGGTGTTGATGCCACATTTTTAAAGATTCACTTTAAGTCCATCTTTAAATCTCTTTTGCCATCCACAGACATTCCATTTTCCATTCTTGAGCTGAGAGTCAAGCAACTGCTTTGGGAGACTGGTTTCTGGGCATTCAGACAATGGTGCATTTGGCCCAACAAAGTGGATGGCAGAGGGTCATGGTTTCAATGCTGGTGGTCTTTGCTACTTCTTCCAGAAGACTGGTGTTTCTGCACCACCAGTCTTCTTCCCAAGAGATCTGCACAATTTTTCAAAGGCAATACTGATGGAATTGTTCAAGAAGTTGAGAGTTTTGGCAATTTGGGGCCTTTTACAAGTTGTTCAGGGCAGGGCCGTAGCCAGAAAAAAAAATTCGGGAGGGGTTGAAAATTTCGGGGGAGGGGGTTGAAAATTTCACGGGGGGTTGAAACCTGCCTCCTAGCTCACGCTGAAGCAAAGAGCACAGCAGGGGGCAGAGCAGCCTTCAATAGCCTGCAGCTCTGCCCCTGTCAACCACCTCCACCAAGTCTGGCCTCCTTAATGAGAGCATTCAACACTCCCCCCCCCCAACTTCATTGCTTCACTACATCGGCTATTGCTGCAAGTAATGACAGTGTGAATAAATTGTCAATATTTACTTGAGATAGTGCTTGCAGTTCTGGAGGGACTGTTAATTTTTTGCGTCTCATAGACTTACCATGGGGATTTGGTTAACCAGTTAAAATTCATGAGTAAATCAGGTTTTTTTTAACCTGAAAGATTTTGGGGGGGGGGGTTGAACCCCTAACCCGCCCCCCCCCCACCCCCGGCTACAGGCCTGGTTCATGGCCTTTTTACAGTTGCCCAGGGCCAGTTTTGGCCATTTGGTGTCTTTTAAAGGTTGTTCGGGGCAAAGAAACACAATATTTATAGAAATACAGAGTTGTCAAAATTCAAATTTCCCGTGCCCGCCCCCTGAGCTGGCCTCGCGGTGATTGGCTGGAGTATCAGCTGGCTGGGAGGTGAGGCCCAGCAAGGTTGGGCTCTGTCCAATCAGAGCATTAGCCCCACTTCGGCTGCTCAGCCAATGAGGAGGCAGGAGGCGGGCCGGGTGCGAAACAATTAATGAAATGGGTAAAATGATAGGATTAAGGTGACCAATGTTTGCCCAACGACCCAGTGATAGCGTAGGCTCTCAAGCTGAGTCCGAGTTATTGTTTTAACCTTTTGAAATAACATCTTTGTCTAGCCCCGAGGGCCAGTTCCTTTGGTTTTTCCTTGCTGTGATATGGGGTTCATTGTCAGAGCAGAGACTTGATTTCAGATCAGGATATGACACGGTAGGGAAGCTGTGGCAAAATCCCCGGTTCCTTGCAGATAGGGAATTGCCCTTTATGTTGGCTGATCCAATATGTCCATAGACCCTATTGTTTCTGAATGGCCTGGCTATCAATCCTTTGAGATCCAGACAGATAGAGCCATTTATTTATTGTCCATGCAAATATGTCTTGGTTGAGTCCTTTGTCTAAGGAATTACTGGCCCAGGAAGTTTGGAAACTCCAAGAGCCATGAGTTGCTGGCTTTATGAAAAAGGTGGCTTCTTCCTTCATTTTTCAAATATTGACATACATATAGGGAATGGGGAAATGGGGTATGGGAGCATACATGGAATCTGAGAGGGGAGAAGGGGAAATCCTGCAGGGTCTAGGAAAGTTCATAACAGCCCCCAAAGTCTATGGAAGTTTATAAACAGTCATAAAAAGTTCATGGGAATCTGTAAAGAGTCCAAAAAGTACCTAGAAATTGTAAAAGTTAATAAAAGTTGACAACAATCCAGGAAAGTTTCTAAAAAGTTCATAAGAGTTTGTAAGAGTCCACAAGGATTCATGAGGTGCAAGTAAGTCCATGGGAGCACTGGGTTGTCACAGTCCATTTAATAGACTGAAGGTTTATTTCATAAATTTTTAGTCCATGACAGGCTGGAGTGGCCTGCCAGAGGTTGGGGGTCCCCAGGGGTGACCACATGGGGCCCCTCTAATCCAGCAGGCTTCTAGGCTGGGGGTAATGTCCACAATGTGAAGGCACAACCATGGCTGCTGCGTGGGAGCCATGGAGAAAGACATTCTGGTTACCACATGAGGTTCCACCTGATGAGGTGGCATTGTGGGGCACAGGGGTCTGTTCAGCAGAAAGTGAGATAGCAGTTAGTCTCAAATTAGTCCCAGGAAAAGATTGACAGTGGTTTGGAGTCGATCGGTTGACTCGCGGATACGGGGGCCGATGGGTTTCCTTATCCGTGGTTCAAAGGAATGCAGTTTCGCCCTCCCTGGGATGATGTAAGAGCATCCCGGGAGAGCCAGCAGTGATCTGAGGCTCGGAAAAGGAAAGGTTCATTCTGGAAAGTATTTGAGTCAGTAAAGGGACACAATGTATAACTATGAAGAGGAAAAGTTAGAAGGAAAGATACTCTTTTATTAAGGGTTGTTACATTGAAACAGGGAGGTTTGTGCAGGGAGGAAAGAAAGAGCTCTGTACTGAAGCTGCTGCTGGAGCCACAGTCCCTTCATGCTTCTTTTCAAAGATCCATGCTCTCAGGAACTGTGGAACTCCCTGCTGCGTGATCAGATCAGCTTGAAGGCTGGGGCCTGCAAGTTCGCCCTCAGTAGTTCAGAGTTTTGCCCATTGAGTGCCTTTTAAAGGTTGTTCAGGGCCTCTTTAGAATTGTTTAGGGTCCGTTTTGCCCATTTTGTGGTTTTTAAAGGTTGTTTAGGGCCTATTTAGGGTTGTCCAGATCTTGTTTTGTCCATTAGGTGCCTTTTAAAGGTTGTGTGGGGCCTCTTTAGTGTTGTCTAGGGTCGTTTTGCCCATTGGGTGCCCTTTAAAGGTTGTTTAGGGCCTTTTAAGGGTTGTCCAGGGCCTGTTTTGTCCATTGGGTGAGTTGTAAAGGTTGGTTAGGGCCTCTTTAGGGTTGTCCAGGGCCCGTTTTGCCCATTGGGTGCCTTTTACAAGTTGTTTAGAACCTCTTTAGGGTTGTCTAGGGCTCGTGATTGCCCATTTCATGCCTTTTGCCAGTTGTTTAGGGCCTCTTTAGGGTTGTCCAACGCCAGTTTTGCCCACTGAGTGCCTTTTAAAGGTTGTTTAGGAGCCCTTTAATGTTCTCCAGGGCCCGTTTTGACAATTTGGTGCCTTTTACAAGTTGTTTAGGGTCTCTTTAGGGATGTCCAGGGCTCGTTTTGCCCATTGGGAGCCTTTCAAAGGTTGTTTAGGGCCTCTTTAGGGTTGTCCAGGGCCCGTTTTTGCCCATTTGGCAGCCAACTCTCCACAAAAGTTGACCTTGATGCCAAACTCCAACCTCACCTGAGCAGTGCGAGTACAGCACTGTTTCGAATGAAGCAGGGAGTGATCGAGAAGATACCAAGATGCTTGCTCATAAAGCTTTTGTCCTCTCAATTCTATTGTGAAACAAACTCGAAATCTCCGGATTATAGAGCATTGGCTATTTGAACTGAGAGCATAACTGCATAGTGGAGATGGATGCTGTGTCAGTCCAGGGGGGCTCGCTTTGGGCTTCATTTTACCTCAGAACCATAATTATTAAAAACTAGCTGTACCCGGCCACGCGTTGCTGTGGCCCATTGTGGAGAAATGGGATAGAAAGAAAAGAGGAAGAGCTGGTTTCTAAGCTATCAATACAGAACTGGAGCCGGGAAAAGGCGCGGGAGTCGGCAGGCGGCACGGCTTTGGGCCCATGATGCCTGCCCCCTCCCCAACCGGGCCTGCCTTCTCCCGGCTTCAGGATGGGGTCTCGCCCCATCCTGAAGCTGGGAGAAGGCGGGGGAGGCGGCAGGCGGTGCGGCTTTGGGCCCATGCTGCCTGCCCCCTCCCCAACCGGGCCTGCCTTCTCACGGCTTCAGGATGGGGTCTCGCCCCATCCTGAAGCTGGGAGAAGGTAGGGGTGGCGGCAGGCAGTGCGGCTTTGGGCCCGCACCGTCTGCCCCCTCCCCAACCGGGCCTGTCTTCTCCCGGCTTCAGGATGGGGCGAGACCCTATCCTGAAGCCGGGAGAAGGCGGGGGAGGCGGCAGGCGGCGTGGCTTTGGGCCCATGCCGCCTGCCCCCTCCCCAACCGGCCCTGCCTTCTCCTGGCTTCAGGATGGGTTCTCGCCCCATCCTGAAGCTGGGAGAAGGCGGGGGAGGCTGCAGGCGGCGCGGCTTTGGGCCTGCACCGCCTGCCCCCTCCCCAACCGGGCCTGCCTTCTCCCAGCTTCAGGATGGGTTCTCGCCCCATCCTGAAGCCAGGAGAAAGCGGGGGAGGCGGCAGGCGGCGCGGCTTTCGGCCCGCACCGCCTGCCCCCTCCCCAACCGGGCCTGCCTTCTCATGGCTTCAGGATGGGGTCTCACCCCATCCTGAAGTCGGGAGAAGGTGGGGGAGGCGGCAGGCGGCGCGGTTTTGGGGCCGTGTTGCCTGCTGCTTCTCGACACCCCGCGGGCCAGATATGCCCTCGGCGGATCAGGTCTGGCCCGCGGGCCGTCGTTTGAGGACCCCTGTGTTAATCCCACAGACCAACATTACGTTTTTATTTATATAGATTGAATTGAATGGTAGGCATGTAGTGAATAGGAAAATATGAAGGAAAAACCAACAATTTCATATATTAGTCCCAGTAATTGTATGTTTAGGATGTGTTTTTTACTCTAGGTTTGTTTCATTGTAGGTTTACGTGTCTTCTATCAAGATTTTTTGTGTTTTTCTTTCTTTTTCCTTTCATCACCCTTTAAGAAGAGAAGCAGTTTTCTGGGCATTTCTAGGTTTGAAGAGATTTGAAATCTTCTTTTCCATTTTGTCCGACATTCTCCCTCATAGGAAAAAATGGATTACGGAACATTTCTTTTGAATATTATGCTTCAGATGAGGCCTTCCCATATTTTTACATCTGACCCTCATTTTTATCCCCCCTTTAAAAAAAAAAAGAATTACTTGTGTTCTGTTTGTTTGACACGGCTGGATAAGTGTTCTCCTCATATTGTGTCAAACCAAGTTGTGTGTATTGTGCATGGAATTACAGAAATGACTTTGGAAAAAGTGCTTATATTGGGTTTTCTTGACCTTTTATGATTTTTTGGTGGAGAAACATGTCTACACCGTGGTTTGGAAACTCCCAAAAACTTTACATCGTTGGGTTCTGTTGATTTTTTTTGGTCTTGATTTTACCTCAGAAATTACCTCAGAGAAAGAATAAAAAGGCCTTTAGAGAAGCTTCTGGCGCCCCAGCCAATAGGAAACGGGAACAGTCCCGCACGCGGCGAGGCCCCGCCCCCAACAGCTCTTCGGCGCGCTCATTGGCTGAGCTGCTTAAAAAGTGCAAGCGTCGCTCAGCAACAGGGCTGTTTTGGCCCTCGACGCCCGCCGTAGTTCGTTGGCTTGTCTCTTCGCGAAGCCCGAGTGCCCGTCAGTCGCGGCGATGTCGCGGGAAGGGGCGGAGGCGAAGCCCGTCACAGTCAGCGACGTGCAGGAGCTGATGAGGAAGAAGGACGAGATCGAAGCCCAGATCAAAGCCTACTACGAAGTGCTGGACGATGTAAGGAAGAGGGACGGGGGAGCCCAAAGCCGGGACTACAACATCCATCATCCCCAGAAAGGCCCGTAGCCAGGATTTTGATTCGGGGGGGGGGGGGGGCTGAGTCTGAGTGAAAGAGGGTCTACCCTAGCAAACCTTTTGTATCATTACCCCAATACCCCATGCATATGGGATATATTAAGCATGGTGATCAGATCATGATATGAATAAACATAACAGTTTAAATAATGTACCAGTAAGGCCTTCTCACAGACCACCATGAATTTCGGCTACATGCCTGTCCCCAGAGAAGCTTTTGGGAATGGGTTTTGCAATCCAAAGCTGGTGTGACAGGCCTCAGATTTCCCCAAGCTTCAGCAGGAGCACCGAAAGTCTTTTCCCTGCCTTTAATCTGTTGCTCTTGAACCTATTATTAGCGACTTTATTTCTTTCTTTCGCCTGGTTTGGAGAAATTATACCTTCTTGATCTAAAACTACAGGTTGTGTGTTTCTTATCCACAATCGTTCGGACCAGAATTGCTTGGGATTCGGTGTGATTTCTTGTCCATGGGATTCTTAACAACAACAACCTCATTTATGCTTCATCTTCGCCTTCTACACATAGCTTGAAGGCAATTTTGCCTACGATAGAACCCGCTGAAAGCAACTGCAGTGGACAGTTGTATGTTTCAGAGTGTTTTGGAATCCCAGGTAAAAGATGCTCAACCTGTCCTAACTGCCCTGGTCCCCTAGCATGGAGCCCTGGCGGTTAAAGTGGTGTCAAGTTGCATCAGTTCTACAGTGTAGGTGCACCCCTCACTGGGGTCCCCTCTACACTGCCATATAATCCACATTATTTGCTTTGAACTGATTATATGAGGCCCCATCAACTCTGCAATATAACATCCAGATTATCTGCTTTGAACTGGATTATATGACAGTATAGACTCAGATAATCCAGTTCAAAACAGATAATCTGGATTATATGGCAGTGTAGATCCAGCCTGAGGGCCCTTCCAGACAGACCCTATATCCCAGGATCTGATCCCAGGTTTTCTTTTTATCCCAGATTATCTAACAGTGGAGACTCATATAATCAGATCTAAAGCAGAAAACCTGGGATTAGATCCTGGGATATAGGGCCTGTCTAGAAGGGTCCTGAGTCCACACACTGCCATATAATCCAGTTCAGAGCAGATAATCTGGATTTTATATGGTAGTGTAGAAGAGGTCTCAGGTAAGCATCCATGAAATTGCAACCTTCATTACTTCTTTGATGGCTGATAGCTTTTATGGCAAGGTTGAGAGCCACTGTGCTTCTGACAGTTGAATGGAAGGGGTTGTATTCCCTCCTGTTATTAGAAGCAAGATATTAAATGCATCATGTTATGTGTAGGAAATCCCCCCTTTTCCCACTCCTTAATTCCCCTGGTTATTGGTTAAGCTGATGCAAAATGCTCATTACTTTGAAAGGCTTTGGTCCTCATGTGCTGAGTCACTGGAGAAGGCCAAATGTGGAGCTCCAGCTATTGGCATTTTGCTCCTGAACAAGACATTGGGGTATATTTTTGGCAGAGTTTTTCTTCCCGTCCCTTTTGTCAAGTTAAACCAGGATGACTGAGGCTGGATCCACACTGCCATCTAATCCAGATTGCACTATGCAACACGATTGTTGTTCCTAGGTTATACATGTAATTCCCTAATTGGCTCTATCATAAAAACATGGAAAAGTGTGTCAAACATCCTGCAGCACTTTTGCTCTTAGTTTTTCAATGATTCTGTCATAAGAGTCTCAACCAATTCAACCTAGTTTGTGGTGGCCACAAAAATGAAGTTTTTGGAGTAGAACAACTATTTTCAAAGTAGGTATCACACAATTAAACAGGAAATATCACTTTCAAACTAGGAACAGATTTTTTTCAAATGTTATATAGTGTTATCAAAGCAGATGATCCACATTAGCTCGTTTGAACTGGATTATATGAGTCTACACTGCCATACAATCCAGTTCAAAGCAGATGATCTCGATTTTATATGGCAGTGTAGATCCAGCAATAGACAACCCATTTTCAGCAATGTGGGGTGGGACATTTTCCATTGTATATCTCTCCATAATTTCTTTTAACCCAAACTTGTTCCATAGATTGTATTAACAACACAGAAGTTCAACGGTGGCAACTGGAATAAAGTTGAATCTAAAATTAAGTTTATTTACCTTTCTAGGAAGTATGTTATTATTTACATAACTCTACAGGAATGCTAAAATTCACTGTTGTCTCTGCCTTTATTTTTTAAATCATAATATAAGGTTAACTACTGAACTGTTTTACTGAACTGTCTCATCATTAAAGGTTTACATGCTTTCCTGTTGTTAAAAATGCCTAAATAATGCTTTTAATTTGATTAACTGAAGTTTTAGAGCACAGTGTAGTTAGTTATAGAGGTATTTTTGCCAATCGGATATTTTAGTTCAGCTGTTTTTGGTATAGAAAACAATGCTTGTGTGATCTTTACAGCATATTAAATTAACACACTAAAATTTTTGCCCACTAAATAAAAATCAAATGTCTAAAATCCACTTTCCCTTGACTGGCTTTTTTCTAAGCCCCATTGAACTCAGTTGACTATAGGATTCCAGCTTCAGTGAACACGATGTTAAGCTGTGTGTTTTGTAGCAAGCTCCTGCTTTTGTATTTCCTACAAAATAGCTCTGCAAAGTCACTTTGTTCTCCTTTTACCCTGCAGCAAAAAGGTGTTGGGATGCATGAACCCCTTGTGGATGTTGAAGGCTATCCGCGTTCAGATATTGATCTTTACCAAGTCCGGACAGCAAGACACAACATCATCTGTAAGTATTAAGTCCTTAATTTGATTGATTGTTAGTTCTAACTTAGTTCCATCATGCACAGTGGTGCTTACTTCAGGATTACACCCTGATTTGAGGGGTTTTTTTGGCTTGGAAAATGGGATGGGGATCCAAACAGGAAAAAAGCCCAAAACCTATCAAGAGTCTGAGGTGTAGAAATGCATACATATAAAGTTAAGAATCAAGAGACCTCTGAGCCAATGTTGTGTCTGGGCATCTGTTTCCATCATTTTTCTGTAATAGATCTTCTCTATTAATGGTGGAGAGTGGACAAGATCAGAGATAGGCCAGGGTTCTCAGTGGGTGACAATACCAGTGTAACTCCCTGCTACCCACCCCTGCCTTAGGTTATGGGTTTATTTTGTCTCTAGGTCTGCAAAATGATCACAAGGCTTTGATGCAACAAGTGGAAGAGGCGCTCCATCAGCTTCATGCCCGGGATAAGGAAAAGCATGCAAGGGATGAGGCGGAGGCTCGAGCCGAAGCTAGAGGCCAGGGCCTGCCCTCGCCTCAGCCTTTTGCCAAGGTGAACGCCATCACCCCAGGATCCCCGGCAAGCCTTTCGGCAAGTACTGATGCTCCTTGCTCTTAGTATCTGTCAGTCTGGTTTTTATTCTGGTTGTCAACCTAAGGGCAAATCACCTTGACTATGTTTCCCTCTGAAGGGCTTGCAAGTTGGTGACGAGATTGTGGAGTTTGGCTCAGTGAATGCACACAACTTCCAGTCGCTGCAGAATATTGCCACTGTGGTGCAGCACAGCGAAGGGGTAAGAATGAGGGATATTATTATTATTATTATTATTATTATTATTATTAGGACTTTGACCACTAGGCAGGTGGATTTGGGAGTTCTATTTTGTGTGGCCAAGTTGAACAATTGACCAGTGGTAGAGAAGGAGTTTAGTTTGTATCGATGACCCTGTTAGCTTCTCTTTTTAATTTTGCCTTGGGAATGTGAGACTAGAAAAAGATAATGGAAGCTAAGAACTGACTGGCCTGGACAACTATAGCCCAACCTGGAGAGCAATCCAGGCTGAACATATGTGTATTGTGTTACTTCTCTCTGCCCATAGAAAGCATTAAGTGTGACTGTGATCCGTGGAGGAGAAAGAATGCATCTGGGCCTCACCCCGAAACGCTGGAGTGGCAGGGGGCTTCTGGGGTAAGCATGCGAAACACCTCTCTGGTAGTGAAAGCCACAGCTTTTTGTATAATGCTTTAGACCAGTGGTTCCCAACCTGTGGTCCATGGACCATAAGAATGAAAATATGGTCCACGGCCTCACCATTACTACATAGTTGCCTGGAAACCACGCAGCAACAAGAGCGACTGGTCTCGCGAAACCCTCTTATAGTGCCAAGGCAACAGGGATCTCGGGAGGGGAGAGGCTGACTACCCACAAAAGATTGCTACTACCACATCAGCTCTAGATTATTAAATATGGTTTTCTGTGGGCCAGCAGATGGCGACTACTGAATGGCATATGTTCTGTATCAGAAACTAGAGTTGATGTCATCTATCAAATTAAGTTTTCTGAATCAACACCCTAAATAACCAAACCAAATCTAAAGTTGACCAAAAACTGATTCGTAACCCTTTTGCTACTAATGTTGGAAAGTGGTCCCTGGTCAAAAAAAGGTTGGGAACCACTGCTTTAGTCAATAATATAGAATACATCTTGTTCTCTAAACCTGCTCCCTTCTTAAATGAGGCACCAAGATGGGGCTTGGCCAGAGTAGAATATGATGGGACTATTACACCCATAGAATCCTAGAGTTGGAGGAGACCTGGTGGGCCATCCAGTCAAACACCATTCTGCCAAGAAGTAGGAAAATTGCATTCAAAGCACCTCCGACAGATGGCCATCCAGCCTCTGTTTGAAAGCCTCTCTAAAGAAGGAGCCTACACCACACTCCAGGGCAGAGAGAGAGTTCCACTGCTGAACAGCTCTCACAGTTGGGAAGTTCTTCCTAATGTTCAAGTGGGATCTCCTTTCCTGTAGTTTGAAGCCATTGAATCAGACATCCCCTGATCTGGAAACTATGCCTCTATTAATGCAGGCTAAAATCACGTTTGCCTTCTTTGCTTCAGCATCACTTTTTTGCTCATGCTCCTCAAGTACCACTTATGTCATTTTTCTGTACCATAAACATTATTTTATGGTGAAGATGAGATCATCTGCTGCAGAAGTGCGCATTTGTGGCCCTCCAGCTTACAAACATGGCCACCAGAAGTTAAGGGGCAAGGCAGTTGTTGTGATATATCGTGACTGACAAAGCCTTTCACGTGTTTGCATGTAACCGCTGAAAAACTGGTTTATAATAAAATAGCATTTTGTTGGTTTGGCTTATTTCTGTCATTTCTGCAATCATGATGGCAAACTGAAAACTAGAGGTATATATGAACACCCCCATCCACACTGGACCCCAAATCAACCACTCTGATTAGGGCCTGGTTCACTCTTGATCAGTTCGCATAACCTGCACATATGTACACACAGACTAATTTCTTTCTTCCTTCTCATTCCCAGTTGCAATATCATCCCATTGCAAAGATGATTCCCAGCGGCAAGGCTCCCAACAACTTGGTGCCATTTCAGTTTGAGTTGACCACTTTAACCTGAAGAAGCTGGAACGGGGAACATGAATTGGGGAGGTTTTGGTGTTTCCTGCCAAAGAAGTTTATAGAGTTATTTGCACACTCAGATTGAAAGTGTACTGGTTCAAAGGGTTAGCTTGGCCTGTCCTTGTGCAGTTTGTTTAAAAATTAAAGACAAAAACAACAACAACAAAAAACCCCCAGAACAGGCATTTCGCTTTAGTGCGGAGTCTGGTAAGTTATTTGTGGCCTCCCTTTTATTCTTTCATGTTTGTTTCAGAATTGACCTGTAAAGGTTTATACTAGCATTTAAGGTGTAGTTTTTCCTGTTTTCAAGCCATACTCACTGAGAGGTTTCTGAAACCTTTTAAGAAAGTTAGCTGCTGTGGTATTTTGCATTGCCATATTAAAATCATTTTGAATAAACCTGCCTTTTCAAAAATGTGTATGTTCGACTTGTTGTGACTAGCATCCTGGGCCTCTGTGTGTATCTCTCTTTTGAAGTAAATCTCATTTACCCCCCAGGGAAGGATGTATAGTATTGCAGTCTCAATCTGGAAGATTTTACAAACAGGTTTTAGCAGAGTTACAAGATGGGTGCAATGTAGCTTACCTTGGCTTTACTTTTCTGTCTTGGCCGTAATGACTGCCTTGATAGTCAATAATACTAGTGGAGTATCTCTTATCTGAAATACTCGGGACCAGAAATGTTTGGGGATTTTTTCAGGTGTTTACATATATGTGTGTAATGGAGATGGGACCTAACTCTAAACATGAAAGTCATGCACCATATGTTTCACATATCCCTTATGTGCATAGCCTGGGGGTCACTGTATACACAATATTTTAAACCATTTTGTGCCTGAAATAAAGTTGGTGTACATTGAGACACCCAAAAGCAAAGATGTCTTACTTCCTTGGACAATGTTTAGAGAATTTTGGAATTCCAGATAAGGGATGCTCAGTCTGTATATGTCAATCCCAAAAAGCGCCTATTTTTCCTTGTTTAGATTTTGAAAGGTAAAGTAGCCCATTCTCACAGGTGTACAATCTAACGGGGGGGGGGGGGGGGCAAAATCTCAATTTATTTAGCAGAAATGGCTGTTTGTATTAAATGTTGTTAGTCAACAATGTCCCAGAAAGGGACAGGAAGTAGTTGGGGATCTACATATATGTGATCAATATATAGTCCGTTGCTGGGTTGACTCTCATATGGTTTAGTGGGAGCTTCGGTAGTTTAGCTCTTTGGCTCTCAGTTGTTTGCCTGCAACTCATATCTGCCTTAGTCAGCAAAGAGAACAATGGGGAATGATGAGCATTGCATCCCAACAATAAGCAGAGACCTACCTCAATCTCTAGTTTTGTCCTTATACTATGAGGAAAAATATGCTGGATGATGCCATGTCTTCTGCGTTGAATTACATTCCAGCTACAGTTCTGATTAAATTCTGTAAAGGCATGCCTCGCTTAACACAGTTTTTGAAAAAGGCGTCCTTTTGTATTGCCTTGATTTGGTCTGCTCAGCCCCCACTTCATTGTTTAAGTGGAAATTTGGATTTATTTAAAACAGGAACAGCACTGGGAGGGGTGCCGTTGGGATGGAGACATTCAGGTTTTAGTGTTGGCAGCATCTCTGCAATAAACAAAGCAATAAAGCAGACACTGGATAGAAAAGGGCTTCTCCAGCCAATGGGAGCGTAATTGTAGATCTGGAAAGATCAGTGGCAGCTGCATCAAGAATCCTTTACTGAAGAGGTGTTCAAACCAGAAGAGAGAAAGGGGGAGAACAGGTAAGTCCAAAACCTGTTAGCCCCAACGAGGTATATCGGTATGGAAATAAATGTAGGCACCAAAAGGGAAATCAAAAGAAAAAGTTCCTGTTGGTAAAAGCTGTGCAACAAGGAAATGCGCGGTTGCCTTGGAATCATCCAATGGGGTCTCCTTTGGAGGTTTTCAACAGACTGGGTGGTCATCTGTTGGCAAGGCTTGGATTGTGTCTTCCTACCTGGTAGAATGGAGTTGGACTGGATGACCCTTGGGGTCTCATCCAGCTGTAGGATCCAACCATTGCTCCGTTTAGCTCAGTATTTTGTATACACATTGGCCATGGCCCCTCAAGATGCAAGCAAGATGGATTCATGGTCAAGGTTGTCCAGTGAAAATGGGAGAGGCCTCCTGTACCTTTTATTCAAAAGGACAGGAGCCCTCTCCAGTTCTCACTCTGGGCAACTGTATTTCTCATTTGAGCCTGAATATATCTACAGTGTTGAATGATTGAAGTTTGGCCCCATGTTCACTGCCATGGCTCAGTGCTATGGAATCATGAGAGTTGTAGTTTGCTATGGTCTTTTTGCCTTCTCTGCCAAAGAGTGTTGGTGCCTCACCAAATTACAGTTCCCAGGATCCCACATCAAGGAACCATGGTAGCTCCAAACTGTATTAATTCTACAGTGTAGATCCCCCCCCCCCCCCCGGTTACTAGGAGAGGGCAGGATTGTATGCCAAGCCCACACTTCACAACTAGTCCTCTAAACATGGCTTTGCCTCTGGAGACATTTTCTCACCTGAGGACTTTTCATACTGCACAATTTTAACACTATGATTCCACTTTTCATGGCAGGTGAAATCCTGGGATTTGTCATTTGGGGAGGAGCATTTCGAATTCTCAGCCATAGGGTTCAAATTTCTCCCTAAACGACGAACCTCTGACTTTGCTGGGACAAGGTTCTGCAGGCGTTGCATGTTACCTGCTTGCATAACAAAGCCAGCTAAGGTGCCATCTTTGAAGTGACTGATACTCCGTCCAAGTTTCAATCTGACAACCTTTTTTGGGATGTTACAAAAGAGCAGCAAATAATTACTGATATTATTTTTCAGTGGTCTTTGCAGGGAGGCATTTGCGGGCTTGGTATTTTTTGCCTGAGGCGCCCAAGCAACAGCTGGCCGTGGGGACTTGGCATGCTTTTGGGGATCGTGGGTGGAATGTGTGCCTTGCCTCAGGCTCCCAAATGTCTTGGGTCAGGAGCTAGGCTGAATATAAACAACATGTAGCTGGTCTCAAGCTCTGGACACAAGCAGTTTCAGCCCCCAAATTTAAAAAGTTACCCATTGTGTCAGGCAGCCAATTTGCGGCCTGTCGCTCTTGGGCAGTTGCCTGTTGCCATGGGAACGGGAATCCGATGCAAACAGTTGGCGTGCTTCTGCAGCTGCTGCTCTGCTTGGCACGGGGACCGGCAGGTGAGTTGGGGAGAGACAGGTGAGGCTGAATCAAAGGGGGAACGGGCGCTGTGTCAGCGCCAAGCCTCGGAAGGGCATTCCCAGTATTTGTGCTTTTTGGACACTTGAGATTCCACTCAGCTACAGAAGTGTACTCCTTCTGGAGAATTTTTTAATTGCAGGATCAGGATGTGTGGGACTCCAACTTTTATCACTCCTAGCCACCACTGACTGCTGGCTGAAGGTGATGAGAGTTGTAGCCGACCCAGAGGTTGGCATTGTGCCTGTCCTCTCACTGTCATAGAAACACTGACTTGCAACTGTTGTTCAAACTTTATTTCTTCATCATAGAGATTGTTTTAATAGAGCACATAGATGGAGGAAGATGCCAGTAAACCGGAAACCCCTCCGGGGGTGGCATCGGCAGAAGCAGGAGCTGAGAGGCAAAGTGAGGAGAGGGAGTTGGCAGATGATACTCCAGAGAAGACTGACTCACCCATCCAGGACACACAAGAGCCAGGGAAAGGGACCCCGGATTCTGCAGGATCCATGGAAGCAACCCAAAAGGGCGATCTTCCGGAACAGGCTCCACAAGCCAGTGTCTCTCCAGATCCTCCACAAACATCTAAAGAAAAGCATGTAAGTATTAAATTCAGAGAGATGTCACCTTGAGCTCATAGATTCAGGATGGTCTGAGATTTGTTCTTGGGACTGATTAAGGCCAGTGTGGCTTCCCCTCCAGCTCATACCCCAAAGTGACACCAGCATCTTCTACAACCCTCAAGACAGAAAGAAACTTAACTTGGAGGTATAAAATGTAACTTTTAGACTTCAGGAATGGATGCATTAGAGCAGTGGTTCTCAACCTGTGGGTCCCCAGGTGTTTTGGCCTACCACTCCCAGAAATCTCAGCCAGTTTACCAGCTGTTAGGATTTCTGGGAGTTGAAGGCCAAAACACCTGGGGACCCACAGGTTGAGAACCACTGCATTAGAGAAATGAAATACTGATGTTTATCTCATGACACACTGGTCCAGATGTCAGTTTTAAAGCTGTGAAATCTGGCCTTGAAGCACACCTAGACCAAGATCCTACAATGGTTTGGTCTAGTGTCAATACCCATTGGAAAAGTTATGTTAGGGGCAAACCCTGTATGGAATTCTGAGACTTATAGTTTGATGAGACACCAGCCCTCTTGATAGAGCAGGCTCAAATTAGAGCTCCTGGGATTCCTTTGCGTTGAGCCACGGCAGCCCAATGGGGTCAAACTGCATTCATTTGATAGTGTAGATGCACCTAGTGTTGTCATTTGTATAAAAGTACTGGTTGAGTTCCACACTTCTCTTTTGCTTTTTATGCAATTGCAATGGAAATGTACTCCAAGGAGGCAAAGGCCAGGCTCGCAGTTCGAGAAGCCCAAACTCCCAAAGAGAAGCCGCCTTCCCCTTCCCCCAAAGAGAAGGGCCGCAAAACTCCAGAAAGGGCCACAGGTCCTACGGCCAGCAGAGAGGAGGCTCACAACCCCGGCATCAAGGGTGAGAAAGAACAAGGAGGCCAAACAGGATTGGAAAAAGGCCAAGAGAGGAAGCAAAAGCAAGAAGCAGGTCTTGTGGCCCCCTCCCACCAAAGTCCCAGGAGTCCAGAGCGGGCCAGAAGTCCAAAGGAGCCTCCTTCTTCACTGGCTGACAGCCCCACAAGCAGGGACGCTCAGGGCAATCCTCAGATGAACCAAGAGGTTAGCCTTGTCCCCCGGCCCCCGGATGCACTCATCAGCAGTCAAGAAACGAGTGTCCAAACAACCCAAGAGGAGAGCAAACCATCCAAAAGACAAATTAGTTTCTCTCTGAGTCCAGCGGAGGAGGAGAAGTCCATCGTGTCGACAGCTGTCCCAGGCATGATGTTTGAAGACGAGAGCAGGCCGCTTGCTGACCATCCACTTGTAAGTCCTGTTCAAAAAATAAAATATGACCAATCGGAATTGTGGAGGTGGGAATGAGAGACCTGCATTCACTAACCTGGTGTCCCCCAAGCTCACTCAACATGTCCCATTCTTCTGGGATCACAATATTTTTCATGTATGAGTTGGAGGAAGCCACAGTATTCTAGCCATCCTAGGGCAGAGGTGGGGAGATACAGTTGGCTGCAAGGAGTAAGGAAAAATGTCAGCAGACAAGACTTGATCCAGAGAAACCATGGATTTATATTGAACTAGCTGTGCCCTGCCACGCGTTGCTGTGGCCTATAGTAAAACTTATCAAAGTTGAGGTAGATATCTGGACTATTATGAGAGGTACCTACCTATTCCTTCCCCCTTTTCCTCCCCCTTTCTCTCCTTTCTTCCTTCTCTACCTCTTTCTTTCTTTCCTTCTTTCACTACTTGGTTTCATCCTTCTCTCTTTCCTTCATTCCCTCCCCCTTTCTTCCTTTGCCTTTCTTCCCTCCCTGTTTGCTTCCTTCTTTCTCTTTTTATTTCCTTTTATTTCACCACCATCATAACAATAACAATAATGCAATGCATTGCCTCTGGGACCTGACACCTCTCCCATTCCCCCAGGGTCTCATAGGAATAATAGCATAATAATAATAATAGAAATAACAACCTTTACCCGCCACGTGTTGCTGTGGCCAACCTTCCCTCTTTCTCTCCTTCTTTCCCTCCTTCCTTCCTTCCTCCCCTCTCTTTCCTTCTCTTCCTTCTCTATCTCTTTCCTTCCTTCCCCCTTTTTCTTTCTCTTCTGGTCTCTTTTCTTCCTTCTCTCTTTCCTTCTTTCCTTCCCTCCCTCTTTCTCTACATCTTCCTTCCTTCACTCCCTCTTTCCTTCCTTCATTCCCTTTTTTCTTTCCTTCTCTCCTTCCTTCCTTTTTTCTTTCCCTCCCTCTGTCTCTCATTTCTTCCTTCTCTACCTCTTTCCTTCCTTCCCCCTTTTTCTTTCTCTTCTGCTGTCTCTCTTTTCTTTCCTTCCATCTTTCCTTTTCTTTCCTTTTCTTCTTCCTTCTTTCTCTAACTTTCCTTCCTTCCCCCTTTTTCTTTACCTCCCTTTCTCTTTCTTCTTTCCTTCCTTCCCGTCTTTCCTGGATTTTGACAGGGCGGGAAGGGGCAGGGTGGGGTTTGGAGGTGGTGTGAAGTAAAAGGAGTGGGGGAGTGATGGAGCATGGGGTTGTGTGTGTGTGTGCGGCGGCGGGGGGAGTGATGGAGCGTGGGGTTGCGTGTGTGTGTGCGGCAGCGGGGGGAGTGGGGTTGCGCGTGTGTGTGGCGGTGGGGGGAGTGATGGAGCGTGGGGTTGTGTGTGTGTGCGCGGCGGGGGGAGGGGGGGGTGGGTGTGTATGTGTGCGGCAGCGGGGGGAGTGGGGTTGCGTGTGTGTGCGGCGGCGGGGGGAGTGATGGAGCGTGGGGTTGCGTGTGTGTGTGTGGCGGCGGGGGGAGTGATGGAGCGTGGGGTTGCGTGTGTGTGTGGGGGGAGTGATGGAGCGTGGGGTTGCGTGTGTGTGTGCGGCGGCGGGGGGAGTGGGGTTGCATGTGTGCGTGCGGCGGCGGGGGAGTGATGGAGCGTGGGGTTGCGTGTGTGTGTGCGGCGATGGGGGAGTGGGGTTGTGTTTGTGTGTGCGGCGGCGGGGGGAGTGGGGGAGCGGGGGGTTGTGTGTGTGCGGCGGCGGGGGAGTGATGGAGCGTGCGGTTGCGTGTGTGTGGCGGCGGGGGGAGTGGGGTTGCGTGTGTGTGTGCGGCGGCGGGGGGAGTGGGGTTGCGTGTGTGTGCGGCGGCGGGGGGAGTGATGGAGCGTGGGGTTGCGTGTGTGTGTGGCGGCGGGGGGAGTGGGGTTGCGTGTGTGTGTGCGGCGGCGGGGGAGTGATGGAGCGTGGGGTTGCGTGTGTGTGTGCGGTGGCGCGTGGGGTTGCGTGTGTGTGGGCGGCGGGAGGAGTGATGGGGCATGGGGTTGCGTGTGTGTGTGCGGCGATGGGGGAGTGGGGTTGTGTTTGTGTGTGCGGCGGCGGGGGGAGTGATGGAGCGTGGGGTTGTGTGTGTGCGGCGGCGGGGGGAGCGATGGAGCGTGGGGTTGCGTGTGTGTGTGCGGCGGCGGGGGGAGTGATGGAGCGTGGGGTTGCGTGTGTGTGTGCGGCGGCGGGAGGATTAATGGAGTGTGGGGTTGCGTGTGTGTGTGCGGCAGCGGGGTGTTGCGGGGGGTTGCGTGTGTGTGTGCGGCGCCGTGGGGAGTGATGGAGCATGGGGTTGCGTGTGTGCGGCGGCGGGGGGAGTGATGGAGCGTGGGGTTGCGTGTGTGTGTGCAGCGGTGGGGGGAATGATGGAGCGTGGGGTGTGCGGCGGCGGGGGAGTGGGGTTGCATGTGTGTGTGCGGTGGCGGGGGAGTGATGGAGCGTGGGGTTGCGTGTGTGTGTGCGGCGGCGGGGGAGTGATGGGGCATGGGGTTGCGTGTGTGTGTGCGGCGATGGGGGAGTGGGGGTGGTTGTGTGTGCGGCGGGGGGAGTGATGGGAGCGTGGGGTTGCGTGTGTGCGGCGGCGGGGGGAGCGATGGAGTGGGGTTGCGTGTGTGTGCGGGCGGGGAGGGTGATGGAGCGTGGGGTTGCGTGTGTGTGTGCGGGGGGGGGGGAGTGATGGAGCGTGGGGTTGCGTGTGTGTGTGCGGCGGCGGGAGGATTAATGGAGTGTGGGGTTGCGTGTGTGTGTGCGGCAGCGGGGTGTTGCGGGGGGTTGCGTGTGTGTGTGCGGCGCCGTGGGGAGTGATGGAGCATGGGGTTGCGTGTGTGCGGCGGCGGGGGGAGTGATGGAGCGTGGGGTTGCGTGTGTGTGTGCAGCGGTGGGGGGAATGATGGAGCGTGGGGTTGCGTGTGTGTGTGCGGCAGCGGGGGGAGTGATGGAGTGTGGGTTGTGTGTGTGTGTGCAGCAGGGGGGTGTGAGTGTGCGGGAAGCAGCGCGGTGGGGCTTGGAGTGGTCATGGCTTCCGCAGAGGGAACGTTGGCCGGAAGACCGTGTGCGCGCGCCAGGGAACTTGCGGCTGGGCGCCAATGCGCATGCTCAGTTGTTTTGCCGTTTTGTGAGTGTGTTGTTGTGTTGTTTTTCATTTTGAGTAGATACGTTTTTACCTTGTGGGTTGTGTTATGGGCATGAGAATTTTGGTTAAGTTTCGTTGGGTTTTTTTTAGTTTTGTTGTTTTGCCGTTTTGTGAGTGTGTTGTTGTGTTGTTTTTCATTTTGAGTAAATATGTTTGTACCTTGTGGGATGTGTTATGGGCATGGGAATTTTGGTTGTTTCGTTGGGTTTTTTGAGTTTTGTTGTTTTGCTGTTTTGTGAGTGTGTTGTTGTGTTGTTTTTCATTTTGAGTAGATATGTTTGTACCTTGTGGGTTGTGTTATGGGCATGGGAATTTTGGTTAAGTTTCATTGGGGGTTTTTTGAGTTTTGTGGCTCCGTTGGATGCCCCTAACAAATTTATATATATAGATTTATTGTATATACTCAAGTATAAGTCCAGTTTTTCAGCCCTTTTTTTAGGCTGAAAAAAGCCCCCCTCAGCTTATACTTGAGTTTGAGTCCTGGCGGAAAGGCATGGGGCTGTAAAAAGGACTTCTTTCAGTCCCACAACTTCCTGCCAGGACCCTCATCTCTCCAAACAACAACCCAGCTCTTCTTCCTCTCCTCTCTTGCACAGTGCATGTCTTCCTCTCCTCTCTTGTGCAGTATGCACTTTCCTCTCCTCCTCTCTTGACGCCAGTCTTTCCCACTTTTCCTGATTCATATACACACAGTATATGTGGTAATTGGTATAAATGGTAATTGGTTAGGCTGAGGCAGAAGTAAGGTTGGAATTTATCTTTGGCTGCAAAATCTAGTTTCCTGGGAACTTGTGGCTTTCGTTTTGAGCATGTCAAGAAGCAGGTTTCAAGGGGTAATGACTCTAATATACACTTGGGAAAGGTTGAAACGTGAAACTTCCAAAGATGAAAGGTGTGGCTGAATATGATTTCTCTTGCTGTGTTGTATCTCCTGTCCCCATGTTAAGGGGAGAGGTGAACAACATTGCAATCCTACGCTTGTGTACATGGAAGAGAATCCCACTGATATCAATAAGAGTTAGCCTTCCATATTAAACCTACAGAGGACCACAGCTGGAATTGTGAAAATAATTTCAGCACATTTCCTTCTGATGACTAAAATATATCAGATCACACCATGAGGCTTCCAATCAGCATTGTCTTCCTGGCAATTTCTGTGTTATGTTTTGGGCAACCTTGAAAGTGCCTTTTGACAGTGTAAAGTTATAGTGCTATGAGTCTATTGCTGTGGTCCCAACTTTGGGATTCTGGGGTTTGCAGTCTTTGTTGTTGAAAGCCTTCAATGCCTTTCTCATTTCTGATGGCCATAAGGCAAACCTGGGTTTTTTTGTGCACAATGTGTTCAGAGGGGGATTGCCGTTGCCCTTTTCTGAAGCTGAGTGTGAATTGCCCAAAGACACACAATGGTTTTCCATTACCAAATGGGAATTTGAATCCTGCTCCCCAGAATTGTCCAACACTCAAACCACAAAAATCATGGTGGCTTTCCTTTTAAAGTCTAGAGAGGGACATTTCAGATCTAACATCTCCCCAAGTTACGAATCCCAGGATTCCCTAGGATGTATTGGTGGTAGTTAAAAGTGGGATCGTTGTGCTATAATTGTGCCATATGCCCTTGGTCCCCTTCTTTCTCTTGCAGAGTTTGTCTTGGGTTTTTGGCTACGACAACAAACTCCCCGTTTTCAATTTGCTCGATGAAGACCGCAGGGTGATTCTGTATGTTGCTGGTCACACTGCCGTGATCCATGACATTTTCAGGAACAAGCAGTACCTCCTCCAGGTAAGACTGAAATACCGTTCGGAATGGCTCTAGGAGAACGGAAAGGACATATGAACCCTCCATCACCTTGTACATTTTTATTCTGCCTTCGATTGTAATGGGGCTTCAGATTTATTCATTTATTTATTGTGTCAGGAGCAAATTGAGATTACAGTTATAATTTATAGAAAAACCAAAAACAAAGTTAAAAATTTGTCATTATACTAAATGTCCTTTGATCAGAAGCTGACCACTTGGAGTGCATCTGGTGTCGCTGTAAGAAGGTCCTCCATTGTGCATATAGCAGGGCTCAGGTTGCATTGTAGTCTGTGGTCTGTGGTTTGCTCTTCTCCACATTTACATGTCGTGGACTCCACTTTGCAGCCCCATTTCTTAAGGTTGGCTCTGCACCTTGGAAGGCACTGTTCAGTGCCTTCCAAGGCTCACAGTCTTCTGTGTGTTCAGGACGGAGTTTCTCATCTGGTATCAGCCGCTGATTGAGGTTCCAGGTTTTAGCCTGCCACTTTTGGACTCTTGCTTGCTAAGGTGTTCCTGCGAGTATTTCTGTAGATCTTAGGAAGCTATTTCTTGATTTAAGACATTGGTATGCTGGGGCCGGAGATGTCCAAGTCTTGGTCCTTTCATTGCTGGCTGCTACTTCCCGATAGATGTCAGATGGCACAATATTGGCTAAACTGTATAATTTCTCCAGTGGTGTTGGGCACAGACATCCTGTGATAATGTGGCATGTCTCACTAAGAGCCACGTCTACTGTTTTAACATGATGAGATGTATTCCACACTGGGCATACATACTCTGCAGCAAAGCGCAAGGGCAGATGTCTTCACTGTATCTGGTTGTGATCCCCAGGTTGTACCAGTCAGCTTTCATATGATATTATTTCTAGCACTCACTTTTTGCTTGAGGGGCTTCAGATGCTGAAAGCTTATTTGTGGGGTGGGAGAAATTTCCAATCCATTCCTCACCCCTCTCTCACCAGGGTCTGGGCCTCTTCTTTCCTCTCCTCAGGGACACTCGAGTTGTGTTTCTTGCATCTGTCTCAGTGAAGACAAGCGATGGATAGTAACTGCTGACCGGAGCCCAGAGAGCTTGATTATCATTTGGGATGGCTATTCTGCGTAAGTATTGAATTGGATAATGGATGTTTGATGCTTGAGGATGCAGAAAGTTGTGAAGACTCCAGGTTGGGAAAAGGGTGTCACTTTTCTGAGATTACTTTCTTGTGCAGGTAGAACAACCAATACATTTATGCTGCGTGCCACAAAAATTGTGATCCCTATCCATAATTTTGCTGATGGAGCTGAATGTAAAAATATCAGCCAATTCATCAGTTTCTCTTTCCGGTCATCAAACCTGTGGGTCACATGTGTCCCCATGGTTGCTTTTGCAGTCCTTGCTCCCTCTTTTTGTCATTAGAAATGAGGACTGCCGCTCCTGGAAGCATCCAAGAACAGTTGTCCTTGTCTATAACAAGCCTAAGGGCCATTCTTCGGAGTGTAAATGGGGGGAACATGCTGAGGGCTTCACCTCCTCTATAAATTTGGCTTTGGTTTGGAATGGAGGGGTTGCACTTGATGGGATTTCCTTCCATCCAAGTCAGAAGTGCTTTTCACTTTTTAGTCCAGCAACCTGGGACATCTCTGTAGTTCATCCATCTTGGCCCTGACTTCCAACTTTGTTTGGCTCCTTCGGGATGCCTACATTCAAGGCCCTAATTTTCTCTGCCCTACAAGGGCTGAAATAAAGCTCGTTCAATTTCGGCAGCTTCAGATCTAACTCTTAGTTGGGTGTCTTGCAATCTAGGGTCCCGGTGCACACGATATTCGATAGTCACCCAGGAGGCGGAGTCAGTGCCATCGCCATTTCCCACGATTCCCTGTTTGTGGCAACAGTTGGAGCCGAGGAAGTGCAGGTAAAGCCAGTATAAATACTCTGATGAGTCCAGGTTAGACCATTGTGGGGGGATGAGTCTAGTCTGGCAGGCCTTCATAATACCTGAGCTCAGGCCTGTGGCCGGGGGGGGGGGGGGATTACGGATTCAACCCCCTCCCCTGAATTTTTTCAGGTTAAAAAAAAACCTGGTTTACTCATGAATTTTAACAGGTTAACCAAATCCCCATGCTAAGTCTGTGAGACGCAAAAAATTAAGAGTCCCTCCAGAACTGCAAGCACTATCTCAAGTAAATATTGACAATTTATTCACACTGTCATTACTTGCAGCAATAGCCGATGTAGCGAAGCAACAAGTTTTTGGGGGGCGGGGGGCTGTTGAATGCTCTCATTAAGGACGCAGACTTGGTGGAAGTGGTTGACAGGGGCAGAGCTGCAGGCTATTGAAGGCTGCTCTGCCCCCTGCTGTGCTCTTTGCTTCAGTGTGAGCTAGGCGGCAGGTTTTAACACACTCACACCCCTGACATTTTCAACCCCCCTCCCCGAAATTTTTTTCTGGCTACGGCCTTGCCTGAGCTGACCCCAACATGTAGAGTGAGTTTGGTGGATGATATGTCATGGTTGTATCCAACTAACAATGGCCTTAGCCGTGGTGCATATGTGGGACTGTTGTGCACACAAAAGCGCATCAAGGAACCCAGAGTTGGGTATGTTTAAGCATTGCCTCTGTGCAGCGCACATTGCAAGCACACCATTGTTTGAGAACCATGCACTATATTGAATGTTGGGATGCAAAGGGATCTTGTAGCACCTTAGAGACAAACCAAGAGAGCAACATTGGTAGCATAAGCTTTCATAGACTAAGGGTACATCTACACTATTGGACGGATGTAGTTTGACTACACTTTTTTTGTGTGTCTGGAGTGACTTGAGAAACTGCAAGTGTCTTCTCTTGTGAGAGAATTGGACATCTGCAAAGATGTTGCCCGGGGACACCCAGATGTTTGATGTTTTACCATGAAGGGACATGGGGAGCTGGAGCAGACAGAGGAAACTCAACCTGCTGTCCCTGGATTCGAATCGCTGACCTGTCTGTCAGCGTTCCTGCCGGCACAAGGGTTTAATCCATTGAGCCACGGGGGGCTCCTGAACTGCCATAACTCAATGCTATAAAATTACTGGAGTTGTAGTTTGGTGCACTAAAGCAATGTAATTTCTTGGACATTGGATAAGGGCTCCCTTGTTCTACCATAACTGCTAGAACAGGCACGGGCAAACTTTCTAACTTGGGGGCCGCATGCTAGTGTTGCATGAAACCTCTCTGGGCAGAATTATTTGTTCCTTTCATACCTTCAGCAGAGAGTTCCAAAGGCTGCAGATACTTAAAGTGTACCTGTTTGGCTCTGCACATGTTCAGACAATCAGGAAATTAACTACAGACTGCCTATGCCCCCTTAATAAATTGGTTACCCCGAACTCTGTTCTTCTCTTGCCCCTTCCTTGCTGTAATGTATCTTTCCCAGCCATCATGTACCTCTCCTTGCTGTAATTCAGCCTTTCCCTTTTTTCTTCTCTTTCCGGATAGCTGGTTCCCCCATTAGAAAGCCTTTGATAGTTTAAGCTCTCTCTGCTCATTATATTTCTCTCCTGCCATCCTCCCTGTCTCAGAGCACACTCCCTGGCCTCTTCTGGGGCCTAACTCAACCCAGGGATTCTGAAGACTGTTTTCCAAGCCTAAGAAACTATGTCTCCCAGGACTGCTGTTAAAAAGAACTCTTTACCTGCTGAAAGAAGGAGAAAGAGAGAAAGGGAAGGGGGAGGGAAGAGAGAAGTAAGGAAGGACTAAAGTGTGGAAGGGAATGGAGGGAGAGGAGGGAGGGAGGAAAGAGAAAAGGATAGAAGGACAAAAGGGAAGGAAGGAAAAGGAAGGAAGGAAGGAAGGAAGGAAGGAAATGAGAAGAAAGAGAGAGAGGGAAGGAGGGCGGGAAGAGGGAAGGAAGGAAGGACAAAAGTGTAGCAGGGAGGGAAGGCAACAGAGAGAAGGGGGGGGGAGGACAAATGAAAGAGAGAAGGAAGGATAGGATGATGAGAGAGAGGAGGGCCTGAAGAAAAAGCCGAAGGGGCCTCATCTGGCCCCCAGGCCTGGGTTTGTCCATACTTGTGCTAGAAGGCTGCAGGAAATATATCTGATTATTGATGTTTTGGATTTATATCCCGCTTTTTTCTCAAAATGGTCTCTGAGTTCCAGGCTACCTCAAGCTGTAGGGAGGTAGACCTGAGGAGGGGGAGATGGGGCGATGGAGTATCTGGAGATCTAGTGAGTATGGGTAGCTATGGCCTCAAAACGTCTGCTATTCTTCTTCTTTTTCTTCTTTTCACCAGAAAACTCGTATTTGGGACTGGACCTCAGGGGAAACAACTCCTTCCTGCAGTGTAGACCTCCTGCCCGAGTACGGCTTCCAAGTGAGAGACTCCCACCTGTATATGGCTCATGTTAAATATATTTTGGGATCAGATTTCAGCTGTTATCCTGTGCCTGGGCGTTAACAAACCCAATTTGTTAATGAAGTGAGAATCCCTCTTGGTATATTTGTGCTAGATTCTACCTTTCATTGCACAACCGAGTGGATACTACCCTCGCCATAACTCAAAACCACGCCTGCAACACCCCTCACATTAGTGGAGTGATAAAAATGCATACAGCTCTTTCAGCTAGCTTCTGTGGAGATCTGTGTAGATTGTACTTTTAAGAGGCTAAATCAGGCATGGGCAAACTTTGCCCCTCCAGGTGTTTTGGACTTCAACTCCCACAATTCCTAACAGTCTACTGGCTGTTAGGAATTGTAGGAATTGAAGTGCAAAACACCTGGAGGGTCAAAGTTTGCCCATGCCTGAGCTAAATGATATGGGAATGTTTGATTTAGACACAAAATGTTCAGCATTTTCAGCTAAAATATCACAGGGGTTACTTTAACTTGCTTTATTGTTCTTCCAGCATTACATTGCATTTAGTTCAAAAGACCATAATGAACTGGTCAGCAACAGCGAAACTCAAGTGATATTCTACATGCGGGTATGTTGGAGTAAAACTATCTTGCATTACGTCAGTGTAAGGGGAAGAGGGAGACTAGACCTTGCCCTTCCTAGTGGGCTCAGGCAGTAAAACTCAGCTGCCAGACCAGTCAGCATGTTACTGTTTTGTCCTTTGACTCAGGCAGCAAAATGTCTTGGTCTGGCCCTGATTTTCTCATATAGTGAGAACATACTTTCTGTTTGTTTTTCCACACTTCTGCTTAGGATTGTGATGTCTTGCACTACTTTGCTCCTGTCCTAACAGAGAAAGTGAGTATAAATATACCATTTAGGGGATTCGGAAGTCATTCCCTTGCCCTTGAGCCGAAACACCCATCTGGGTGGCCAGATTGTCTGGCTGCAGGGCAAAGCTTGAGATCTTAGTTCGCAAGGGAGCACTTCTCTCTATATATATGCCTGCCCCCGAATTGAAGCCTTCATGAGGGTGTCCCCTTTAGGTCCCATTTGTTGGTAAGAGTAATAAATTGTGGGAAGATGTGAGAGGGCGCCTTCTCTGCGGGGACAACCTTGGAGGCCTGATTGGTACCAACACTGGAATCATTTCTGTGCCAAGTTAAAGCATGGCTTTGCATTCATTCCCTCGGTGCTCATTTCCTGTATTCCATTGCACAATAGTCATACTTTTCTCTTTCCCCTCTTTGGAAAAATGGGGGAGCGACTATTATGCGAGGAAATAAAATTGGTACCTTCTATTTGCTGGATGATGAAGAAGAGGGAGAGAGCTCTGTGTTCAAACTGTCTTTGAGGGGGAAAAGGAAGCAGAGAAGAAATTGTGTTGGTTTAAACTCTTTGAGGGGGAAAGGGACAAGGGAGATCTCAGTGTTGATTTAAACCAGGCATGGGCTAACTTTCTAATTTGGGGGCTGGTGATGGATGGAAGGAAGGAAGGAAGGAAGGAAGGAAGGAAGGAAGGAAGGAAGGAGGGAAGGAAGGAGGGAAGGAAGGAAGGAAGGAAGGAGAAAAAGAAGGGAAGGAAAGGAAGGGAAGGAGGAAGAAAGAGTGGAAGGAGGGAGGAAAGAGGAAAGGAAGGAAAGACAAAAGTGAAGGAAGGAAGGAAAGAGGGAAGGAAGGGAAGATAAAAGAGAAGGAAGGAAAGAAAAAGGGAGGGAGAGAAGGAAGGATGAAAGGGTGGAAGGGAAGGATGGAAAGAGAAAGAGGGAGGGAAGGGTGGGAAGGAGGAAGGAAAGGGAGAAGGAAGGAAAGACAAAAGGGAGGGAAGGAGGAAAGGACAAAAGGGTGGAAGGGAAGGAAGGAAGGAAGGAAAGAGAGAAGGAAGGAAGGACAAAAGGGTGGAAGGGAATGGGGGAGGGAGAAAGAGGGAGGGGAGGGAGGAAAGAGATAAGGTAGGAAAGAGAGGGAAGGAAGAAGGAAGGAAGGAAGGAAGGAAGGAAGGAAGGAAGGAAGGAAGAAGGAGAAAGAGGGAAGAGGAAAAGGGAAAGGGAAGGATGAAGAAGGAAAGAGGGAGGAGAGAAGGAGGGAGGAAAGAGGGAAGGAAGGAAAGAAAGAAAAAAGAAGGAAGGAAGGACAAAAGGTGGAAGGGAATGGAGGGAAAGAGAAAGAGGGGGAGATGGAAGGAGGGAGGAAAGAGGAAAGGAAGGAAAGACAAAAGTGAAGGAAGGAAGGAAAGAGGGAAGGAAGGGAAGATAAAAGAGAAGGAAGGAAAGAAAAAGGGAGGGAGAGAAGGAAGGATGAAAGGGTGGAAGGGAAGGATGGAAAGAGAAAGAGGGAGGGAAGGGTGGGAAGGAGGAAGGAAAGGGAGAAGGAAGGAAAGACAAAAGGGAGGGAAGGAGGAAAGGACAAAAGGGTGGAAGGGAAGGAAGGAAGGAAGGAAAGAGAGAAGGAAGGAAGGACAAAAGGGTGGAAGGAAGAAGGGAGAGAGAGAGGGACGGAAGGAGGAAGGAAAGAGCGGAAGGAAAGAGCGGAAGGAAGGAAGGAAGGAAGGAAGGAAGGAAGGAAGGAAGGAAGGAAGGAGAAAGAGGGAAAGAAGGATGAAAGGGTGGAAGGGAAGGGAGGGTGAAAATGGGAAGGAAGAAAGGATGAAAGGGTAGAAGGGAAGGGTGAGAGAAAGAGGGAAGGAAGGAAGGATGGAAAGAGGGAGAAAGAGGGAAGGACAAAAGGGTGGAAGGGAAGCAAGGAGAAAGAGGGAAGGAAGGAAGGATGAAAAGATGGAAAGGGAGGGAGAAAGAGGGAGGGAAAGGGAGGAGGGAAGAAAGGAAGAAGGAAAGAGAAGAAGGAAGGAAGGAAGGAAGGAAGGAAGGAAGGAAGGAAGGGTGGAAGGGAAGGAGAAAGAGGGAGGGAAGGAGGAAGGAAAGAGAGAAGGAAGGAAGGATAGGATAGCAAGAGAGAGGAGGTCATGAGAAAAGAACCCAAGGAGCCGCATCCAGCCTCCTGGTCTGGGTTTGCCCATGCTTGATTTAAACTGGGTTGTTGTAGGTTTTTTTTGGGCTATATGGCCATGTTCTAGACAGAGGCATTCTCTCCTGACGTTTGGTCTGCATCTATGGCAAGCATCCTCAGAGGTAGCGAGGTCTGTTGGAACTAGAAAAAAGGGTTTATATATCTGTGGAATGACCAGGATGGGACAAAGGACTCTTGTCTGCTGGAGCTAGGTGTGAATGTTTCAACTGACCACCTTGATTAGCATTTGATGGCCTGGCAGTGTGGGGCAATCTTTTGTTGAGAGGTGATTAGATGTCCCTGATTGTTTTTCCTCTGTTGTTTTGCTGTTGTAATTTTAGAGTTTTTTTAATACTGGTAGCCAGATTTTGTTCATTTTCATGGTTTCCTCCTTTCTGTTGAAATTGTCCACATGCTTGTGGATTTCAATGGCTTCTCTGTATAGTCTGACATGGTGGTTGTTGGAGTGGTCCAGCATTTCTGTGTTCTCAAATAATATGCTGTGTCCAGGTTGGTTCATCAGGTGCTCTGCTATGGCTGACTTCTCTGGTTGAAGTAGTTTGCAGTGCCTTTCATGTTCCTTGATTCGTGTTTGGGCAATGCTGCGTTTGGTGGTCCCTATGGAGACTTGTCCACAGCTGCATGGTATACGGTAGACTCCTGCAGAAGTGAGAGGATCTCTCTTGTCCTTTGCTGAACGTAGCATTTGCCAGGCCATCAAATGCTAATCAAGGTGGTCAGTTGAAACATTCACACCTAGCTCCAGCAGACAAGAGTCCTTTGTCCCACCCTGGTCATTCCACAGATATATAAACCCTTTTTTCCTAGTTCCAACAGACCTCACTACCTCTGAGGATGCTTGCCATAGATGCAGGCGAAACGTCAGGAGAGAATGCCTCTAGAACATGGCCATATAGCCCGAAAAAACCTACAACAACCCAGTGATTCTGGCCATGAAAGCCTTCGTCATTACATTGATTAAAACTGTCTTTGATTTAAACTGTCTTTGAAAGGGAGTTTATCAGTTTTATAATCACCCACAACAATTATTATTATTATTATTATTATTATTATTATTATTATTTTAATTTATACCCCACTTTTTATTTCCACAAGGAGACTCAAAGTGGCAAATTCAGTCAGGAAAAGGGGAAAAAATGATGTTGGAACCTCAAAAATAGGGGTGCAATTACTACGCAATGAAATATGGGTATTTTATTCAGTATGCGCATGTGGTCCAGTTGGCACCACTTGAAGTTGTTTTTACTGGTTTCAAATTGTATTGGGGTTTAAAGAAAAACAACAACTGAGGAATGATGACTATATTCTTTTCAAATGATTGTCATTGGCTGGATTGATAATCTTTTCCCTTCTGTCTTGGACAGACCTTTGACCGGAGCGTGGGGTTGTTCAGCCAATCGTTGTTCCATTTCAGCACTGCCCAGGCCATCACTGGCACGATGGAAGGCAAGATGGCGCTCTGGGGTCCAATCCCACCTCCTTCCAGGGACCCCGCTTTGAGCGTGAAGCCCTATAACATGAAGGTCATCAAGCTGGTGCACTTGCAGAGGGAAGGCATCTCGGTGTTGGCCATTACAGATGGGTAAGCAGCTCACCAAGTTTCTTGAGTGCTGCTTTGTGCCACTTTGAACTCAAGATATCCCTACAGTGAGCAATTTCAAAATTTACCTGTCTATGTCATGATAGACTGATGGTTAAAAAATACAGACATACCCAGATTTGTTTAGAAGGGGTTTACCTTTGCTTCCCTCTGAGGCTGAGCGTGTGTGACTTGCCCCAATACGGGTTTCCTGGCTGAGCAGGAATTCAAAACGTGCTCTCCGGAGTTGTAGTCCAGCACTCAAAATGCTATATCCATAATAGGCACAACAAAGGCGAAATTCACAAAAAGCATAACAAGCGGTAATGCAAATAAACAATGCTGCCATGTTCCCTTCAAAAAAGCAAAGGCATTTTAGAAGCATTTTAGCAGTCATTTCTCCAGTTGTTATTTTAGCAATCTGGGAGGTGTGGAAATGTTTTTGGTAAGTGACAAAAAATGTTACTCTTTCAACATGAGTTGCCACAGATTATTTTTCAATGATGAATAATGAAAACGAGGGACTTTTAAAAGCTCCGGGGAAGGTTACAAACAAAGCAACAGTCAGCAAAAGTGGGAGCAGTCCATGAATCTGTATGCTGCTTGACATTTCTCCATTTTTCACCAGCAGAGAGCAGTGCTGGGTATCGCAAAAGCTCTTATTTATTTATTTATTTATCGTGTCAGAAGCAAAGTGAGCATACAGGTGTAATGTATTTAAAAACATAAACAAAGTTAAAAATTTGGCATTATAGTAAATGTCTTTTGACCAGAACTTGGCCACTTGGAGTGCCTCTGGTGTCGCTGTGTTGTGCATGCGACGGGGCTCAGACTGCATTGTAGTCAGTGGTCTGTGGTTTGCTCTTCTTCACACTCACATGTTGTGGACTGCCAGAGCGCAGCCTATTCTGTGTGCCCAGCCTTTTGTGTGCCCGGAAATGAGTTTCTCATCTGGTCTCAGCCACTGATTGAGATTCTGGGTTTTAGCCTGCCGTTTTTGGATTCTCACTTTCTGAGGTGTTCCTACAAGTATCCCTGTAGATCTTAGAAAGCTATTTCTTGAGTTAAGGCGTTGGCGTGCTGGCCGAACAGATGATGGACCAGAGATGTCACCGCCTGGGTTCTTTCATTATTGGCTGCTACTTCCCGGCAGAGGTCAAGTGGTGCAATACCGGCTAAGCAGTTTAATTTCTCCAGTGGTGTTGGGCGTAGACATCCTGTGATAATGCGGCATGTCTCATTAAGAGCCACACCCACTGTTTTAACGTGGTGAGATGTATTCCACACTGGACATGCGTATTCAGCAGCAGAGTAGCCGAGCGCTAGGGCAGATGTCTCCACTGTGTCTGGTTGTGTTTCTCAGGTTGTGCCAGTCAGCTTTCATATGATATTATTTCTAGCACCCACTTTTTGCTTTATAGTCAAGCAGTGCTTATTGTAAGTCAGAGCACAGTCCAGGGTAACTCCCAGGTATTTTGGTGTGCTGCAATGCTCCAGTGGGATTCCTTCCCAAGTAATCCTCAGAGCTCAAGATGCTTGTCTGTTCTTAAGATGAAAGACACATGTCTGCATTTTAGATGGGTTAGGAATCATCTGGTTTTCCCTGCAACTAGCAGTAAGAGTACCTAAATCTTCGGAGACCTCCAGTTCAACCATTTCAAAGCTCCTTGCTTAAGCGGTGATGGCATGATCATCAGTATAGATGAAACTCTCTGTCCCTTCTGGCAGTGGCTGATTGTTTATGTCAGTGTTAAACATTGATGGAAGAATCACGCTCCTCTGAGGCAGTCCGTTCTTCAGTTTTTGCCATCTGCTTCTCTGGCCCCGGAACTCAACAACAACAAAAACCTTCTGTTTTGTAGCAGATTTCCTATGACGCGTATGAGGTGGTATTCCTTTGTGTTGTTATAATTTTTTCTCAGCTCTGATAGGTTTCAACCTACAATAACGGTTAATCGTACCAGTTATATTCCTACAGTTCCTCGGTACTGATGCCCTGTAGGAGTTGAAGTTCAAAACCTGTGAAGAGTTACAAGTCTCACATCCCAGCTTTAAGACAAAACAAAGTTGATTTCTGCCAGATATATATCCCTTCTCTTTTTTCAGGAATTTTGTAACCTGTGACATCAAGGGGCGTGTGAAGTTCTACGACGGAAATCTACAGCTGGTGCATTGGTACAGCCACCTGAAAGTTGGGCCCATCCGCTCCATTTCCTTCAGCAGGCACCCACCGTGCCCTGTGGATGTCACCAAGTTCCCCATGTCTTGCACCTTATCAGGTGCACCTTTCATTCTTAGGTGAGGGACAAAGGTTGTGCTGATGTCAATGGGAAATTTGACCACGTCTCAACGAGCCTTTGAAATTCAGGAATGGTCTAGTCTTCGAGTTCCTGAATGGAGAAGGATGTTGGTGTAGATCAGGGATGGGACAACTGATTATTATTATCATCATCATCATCATCATCATCATCATCATCATGACCCATGTGGTCTCTTCCAACTCTATTATTCTATGATTCTATGACTACCACCATTGCCACTACCACCACCTTATTGTGTGTGTGTGTGTGTGTTCTTCTACATGGTCCCTGTGAAGTACACTCATATGGGTCTCCTGCACCTGTGCAGACAGGTTCGGAGCTCTCTAGAAGCTCTTAAGAGATACATTTTAGTGGAGGCCCCGCCCACTCTTCCCTTGTAGTATATATAGCCAGTGGGAGGGGATACCGCCCCAGTTCCTTTTTTCTGCTGCAATAGGCAGTTAGGAACCTGTCTCTTGCTCGTGAGATAGCTTCTGATCATTCTACTTATTTCAGTTTCTCAAGTCGCTCCTGACACAGGAAAAAAACTTATTTCAATTTGGACTTTTTCTCAGTTCTGGACTTGACCTCGGACTTTCTTTTGACCATTCTGAGCGCAACGTTTTGGATCTGATCTGATAGCTCGGCTGACTTGGACCAGTTGACTACCCGTACTTCTCAGGTCAATCTTTCCCCCTTCCAAAAAATCTCCGCATTCTTTAAAAAATGTTCGCAGTGCGTGGGGAAACTCCCCGAAATGGATGGCCATAATATATGTTTGCTCTGCCTGGGTGAGGACCAATCAGTCCAGTCATGTACCATCTGCCAGTTTTTCACCCCTCAGGCCCACAAGAATCGGGAAACACACCTGAAGGCATTACTTTATGAGCAGGCTCTCCTATCGCCGTCCGTTCAGCCACCCAAAAGGGCAGCCTCTGAGCCTCCCGGCCCCTCCCCCAATGACAGGCCAACCACTGCTCTCAGCCCCCAAGGTGACCAAGCGCTCTTACCTCTAGAAGCCCTGGGTGAAACCACTTTCAATTTTGCCAATCTGCCCAAGGCTAAAAGGGCCAAGACTCTCTCTGTGCCCCGGGATGACTCTAGAAAGCCTAATAAACAGAAGAAAAGGAGACTGGCACCACTTTGCGGCCAGACAGCCCTCATGTCATCAGCTTCGCACATGCCTGCTGTGGTGAGTCCTCTAAGCGAACAAGCCTCTGTGCAGCTTGTGCCCTCAGTGCAGCCAGCTCCAGAGAGGTGGGGCCCTCCTCTCCAGAGCTCAAAGTAATGGCTCCTGAGCTTGAGGCAATGGCCTCTGCTCCCCTCCCGTCAATGGGGGGGGGGAGGCCAGCTGGCCACCCGTCCCACTCCATCTTTGGGAGAGGCCACAGAGTGGAATCAGCAAAGCCCGATACCCGCCCCTTTTCCACGGCTGAGTACTAACACCACTACAGCGCAGAGGAGCTCAAGACCTCCATTCTGAGGCCGTTGGCCCTCACAGCGCTCTTATCATCATCATTCCTACAGGAGGTGCTATTGCTCCCTGTCTTCCCGCTCTTGTAGCTCCCGATCCAGAAGTCCATCTCAGAGCTCCCTTCAATCTTGAGCCCACCCCGCACAGAGAACCTTTTTACGGGATGGAGTCACCTCCCCCTTATTATTACCATGGGATTCCATCTATACCATAAACTATTTCCAAGCCTATGCTTCCCACCACCGGAGCCAGTGCTATCATTCTCCACAGCATTATGCTCGCAATGCCCTTGGGGAAGAGGCTCTGCCCTCTCTATCCCCCTCACAGCCACCTTCCAACTCTGCAGGCTTCAACCCTGGTGGATGATCCAGTTTTTTCACATGACCAACAACAAACCCCTGCAGCAGCTCTACTACCTATTCTGCCTTATCTGCTACAACTCCTTAAAGCCCCTGGCTTGGTGCCCTCATCAGAGCCCACCACCTCTAGGAAGGCAGAAAACATCTATTGCATTGACTTGTCCTCTACAGTGTGGTTAGGCAAGCATCCTAAGCCCAACTCTCCACCACCACCGAGTTGGGCTTAGGATGCTTGCCTAACCACACTGGGTCTCAAACTTGCCCTGCCCACAGGTCCCAATTTACTCCAGCGGACAGGGAAGGAAAAAAGCTAGATACCATGGATACCATGGTCTCTTTGTTCGCTTAGCCCACTACGAGGCCTATATGGGGCAATATCAACATTACCTTTGGAATAAGATTGCACCCTATTTAGAACACTTACCTGCAGAAGAATTACGTGTGGTGAGACATTCAAGCAGGAAGCGTGCCAACTAGTGCACCCTCCAAAAAGAACTTGCAAAACACACAGCTGACTCAGCTGGCAAGTTATTTACGGCCGCCATCACTCTTCAACAGCATGCTTGGTTGCAATCCTCCAGCCTCTCTACAGCAGCTCATGCAGCAATTGAAGATCTACCATTGCATGAATCGAGCCTGTTCAACCCTGACACTGATTCTAATCTGGAATGTACCCACAAAATGCTCCAGACAGCACATAGGCTTAGCCTCCTATCTCAATCTTCTAGTCAACCATGCCAGCGTTGGGTGTCCTATTCTTCAATCTATCGCAGGTGCCCCAGCTGTGCACCACCCAGATCGAGACATTGTATCCCATCTCAACTGACATGAGGGAGAAAGCCTCCTCTCCCGCTGAGAGGCCGCCAACAGGGTAGGGTCAGGCAAACCTACGCCCCCAGACGGCATGTTTAGTCCACCCCAGATGGGTAAAGTTGGGACTCCCACGTTGGACAGTCCTGATCACACAGTTATCTCAGTTTTTGAGTTACACACAGTTGAGCCTACCAGAGTTACAGGGCAGCTCTCACTTACCAGGTCCTGCGATGTGGAATTCACTGTACCTACCATACCTATCTTTCAGAACAGCTTTGCTCCTTTCCTGGATGCTTGGCACCAAATTACCTCTGAAAAGTGGGTGTTAGATATCATAGGGAGGGGCTATGCCATCAAATTTGCTGCCTTGCCTCCAACGGAATACCCTAGAACAACACCTCCCTCTGCTTCATTGCTGGAGGAAGTGCGGTCACTTCTATTGAAGGGTGCCATACAACATCTGCAGAGCTAGAATCTCCACGATGTTACTTTTAAAGATATTTTTGGTCCCAAAAAGGGGTGGAGGCCTACGCCCCATCCTGGATCTGCGGAAAGTTAGCTTCTACATTAAGCCCCAAAAATTCCACATTTTCACCCTTCCTGTAATTAATTATCTCTCTGACCCGCAAAGATGCTTGGTTTGTGACAGTGGATCTTAAGGACACCTATTTCTACATTGGAATTGGGCCATCTCACCACAGGCACCTTAGTTTTCAAGTTGGACACCGTTGTTACAGTTTTAATGTTCTTCCCTTTGACTTATCTACCACCCCAAGGATCTTTATGAAATGTATACCAGTTGTTGCAGCCTTTCTCCATCAAAATGGCATAGTCATGTACCCGTACATAGATGACTGGCTACTCGTAGCCAACTCCAGACTAGAATTACTCTCCCATATTCATATGACTCTGTCTCTCCTCCAAGACCTTGGCCTAGTTGTCAACTGGGAGAAATTTTACCTTCAGCATTCAAATTTATCCATTTTATTGGGGCAATCATTGACTCTGTTCAAAAGCTGTCCTAAGGGCTATAGTCACCAAGGTCCTCATGCAAAACAATGTCTGTGCCCAGGTTGTACAGTCCATCTTGGGCCATATGGCCTGTTACGCAATTCGCCAGGCTCAGGATGCACCCCCTCCAAATATGGTTCCTGACTGTTTTCGAAGTGCTCCACAAAAGCCTGAAAACTGTGCTTTCCATACCCACTGCGCTGGTGGACGCAGCGACACAATGCCCAACAAGGGATGCCCTTCTGCCAACCGAAGCCCTTCAAAACACACACTATGAATACATCCCTACAGGGATGGGGCGCACATCTGGACAGTCTAACAATAAAGGGTCTGTAGTCGCCGGTCGAGAAATGCCATCACATCATCTATTTAGAGATACTCACAGTTCAAAAAGCCCTCAGAGCCTTCGAGTCCCCTTTGGAACTGTGTGGTTAATCTCCTCACGGACAACATAACAACCAAATTCTACATCAATAAACAAGGGGGGACCTGATAAAGTAGTCTGATCAGCCTTACACTACAGATTTGGAACTGGTGCATCCCCGCGGGATACACCTTCTTGCCCTCTACCTCCCCGGAGAGGAGAATTCCATGGCGGATTCACTCAGCAGAACCTCCAACTCCTGCCACCCTAAGCACTAGGACCAGTATTCGACCACTGGGACCTACCAACAGTAGAACTCTTTGCCACACACCCCAAAAACACAGTGCAACCTGTTCTGTGCCTGGCTTTCCTCAGACCAAACATCCAGATGCCTGGACGTGTTCCTCTACAACTGGACTCCAGCACTCATACGTGTTTCTGCCCATACCCCTGATAACCTGAACCCTGTCAAAACTTCTGATAGACAACTCAGATTGCATACTGCTAACCCCGTGGTGGCCTTGCCAGCCCTGGTTCAGCTCTCTCCTTCAGGCCTCGCTATCTCAGCTTCAGGCTGGACATCTTCACATCCCAGGGAGGGCAGGTTTGCCACTCAGATGCACAGTCTCTCCGCCTCTTGGTATGGCGGATATGACTACAGCAGGCCTCTCCAACTCAGTGAGAGCAATCATCGTGGTGGCGCACAAGGACTCTACAAAGAAATCTTTTGCTTATAAGTGGCAATCTTTTTCCTCTTTTGCGAAACAGGCTGGCATCGACCCTCCTTCGGTCTCGACTTCTGTGATCTTGGACTTTGTCTTGTCTCTCTCTCGGAAGGGACTATCCATCTCCTTCCTAAAGTGCTATTTGGCAGCCATTTCATGGTACCGATGGAAGGCCGGACACCCTTCCTGTTTCACGTATCCTTTAGTCCACCTGTTCCTGAGGGGACACAAAAATATGTATCTGCCAACATGCCCATCAGTTCCAGCCTGGAGCCTAGAGCTCATCTTGTCCCAATTAATCAAGCAGCCCTTCGAGCCACTGGCGACAATCAACATGCAACACCTGTCCTGGAAAACGGCATCACGGTCATGACTGCGAGAAGGGCCAGTAAGCCGTACTTTGCACAGATGTCACCTTTTTACCAAAGGCGGTATCGTGTTTCTACCTATCATATATATCATGCTGCCGGCCTTCTTCCAGAATCCGTCCACAACCCGTGAATGCTCACTTCACACATTAGATGTCAGAAGAGCCCTCACCTTCTACGTTGATAGAACTCGCCCTCATAGGAAGTCCCCATGGCTCTTCCTTAAATACCGGCAAGATGCTTGGGCCTCCCAACAATGCCTTAGTGTCTGTCATCTTGGATTGTTACCATAATCCGATTAGCTTATCAGCTAGTAGGCCGTGATCCACCTGTCACAGTAAAAGCACACTCCACAAGATCCCACACCTTCCTGGAAGGGATGCCATTAGATGACATCTGCTGTGCAGCCACCTGAGCAACACTGACCACCTTTGTATCACATTACAAGGTGGATGCCCTGTCCAGAAGAGACATTGCCTTCAGCATAGCTGTGCTGTTCCCTGTACAGCATGACACCCAACTTCCAAGGACAGTAGCTTTCTAGTCACCCATATGTGTGCATTTCACAGGGACTACATAGAAAGAGAATGGGTTGCTTACCTGTAACCATGTTTCTTTGAGTGGTCACCTGTGAAAGCCACACATCCCTGCCCATCCTCCTCACTGGATGTCATGCCCCGGTTCTCTTGGCAGCAATCTTGCGGCTAAGGAACTGGGGTGGTATATACATTGGCTGTATATACCACAAGGGGAGAGTGGGTGGGGCCTCCACCAAAATGTATCTCTTAAGAGCTTCTAGACAGTTCTGAAACTGTCTGCGAAGGTGCAGGAGACCCATATGTGTGCATTTCACAGGTGACCACTCGAAGAAATATACGTGTGTGTGTATTTAATTATTTAGGGATCGGTGACTCTTTTTTCACCTTTGCTCCACACATTTGCACCTCTGCAGAACACAACAAAAAGGCCTTTAATTTTCATTAGCGTTCCTCTCAATATGGAGACCAGAAGAGATGTCCTGTCACTTCCCGTCATCTTTTTGAGAAGGACTATGACAAAATAGGCTCTTGAGGAGGATCTTGGAGGGTAATGGGGGTGGATTAGGATGGCTTTTTATAGATTTCCGCCCATTTGGTTTGGTTTTCAGTTGAGAATAAGTTGAACATGGTGCTAATTTGTGATAAAACCGAGAGAGTGGCAGAAGAGAGGTCCACCTGTGCGATTTGACCTTCTTTTGATTCTTTTTCCATGTCACAGGAATTTTATTCTTTCCACGTCAAATTCATTAGTGGTCCATATCAAGCCCGAGGGTTTAAAAATCAGCAAATGCCTGGAGGAGCCCAAAGATGTTGTTCATGCCATTGCCTGCCATCCGAACAAACCCCTCATGGCCAAGGGGAGTTTTTGTGGTCTTCTGAAAGTGTGGCACTACAAGCTCGACAAATACCTGGTCAGCCGAATCTTTAAGGGCGACAGTATCCAGGCCCTTTGTTATAACCATGATGGTACTGATTTGTGGTATTGAGAAGTTTGGGATGGGGTTCTTGGGAGGATTCTTAGTGCATCCTGTCTTGCTAGATGGGGATTTCATGGGATGACTTTGATGCCACGTGTGTTTTAGGCTCCTTGCTGGCAGTCGGCTTTGCTAGCGGAACCATTCGCCTTCTTGATTCGATCTCTTTGGAGAACGACCACCCAGAACCGATGAAGTTTTCAAAAGGCTCCATTACCATCATTGCCTTCTCACATAAGTCCCAGTATTTTGCCACTGCTGTGAGTATTTCCGCCTGCAACCTGATGCTAGTATGAGCCCAATGGCATAGGTCAGCTCTTGAAACTATGGTCGCTATTTATTGCACTAAAAAATCTCTCCCAGAGGTGCATAGTCAGAGCCTCTTTGAGTTGATGCATCTGCTCTGAGACTATACCTAAGAACATCTTTGAGCTTCCTTTGTGGTGAGAAAAAGCAGGGCATAAATAACAACAACGGTGGTTTTAGCTATTTAATTTGTGGTAAAGATTTTAATTATTTTCAATACTGTTAATGTTTAATTCTATTTTTATGTTTGTATATTTTTATGTTTAAAATCATATTTTTATTTTTATCGTGAGCCACTTTGAGTCTCTTATTTAGAGAGATAAAGCAGGATGCAAATACAATTAGCAATAGTATCAATAATAATCTGTGCAAGCGAGGTCAGTCCAAGCTTTCCCAGTCAGGTTTAAGACTTAAGCTGCGTGTTTGGTCTTAGTCTAACACTATGACAGTTACAACACAGCATTATAACTGGGAATTGGGGCAGCTTCCGTACACTTCACAAGTAATACATTAAAATAGAACAACGTTGTTAACATGCAGTTAAATAAGAATATCAGATAATTCCAAAAGTCAAATTTGGAACATTCAGTGGACTGAGGAAATTTGGACTGAGGGTCCAAATTGGAGGAGAAACCATGGGGCTTAGTCTGGAAAACCCAAGCATGTAAATCAATCTCAGCACAACAGAGAGACAATACTTTGGAGTTTATGCATAGGTAGTACTATTTCCATTCAAACTACATAGAATTAATAATAGTATATCCCAATTAAGTTGGAGAAAGTGTGGAGAAACAGGGGATTGGAGCCACATGTGGCTAAGATACGGCCTCAGAAGTACAGAGATTCTGGGATTAAGTTCTAGCATGGATAATAAAGCAAATAGTGGGGGGAAACAGTACACTTCAGAGGAGCTCTACTAATGATTTCTATATTTGAAAGTGAGAATAAGGATCTAGTAAATCTTCTATTACTCATGTTCTGTGCCGCAAGACTCGAGATAGTCAAAACCTGGAAAAGATCAGATACTTCATCAGTAAAAAATTGGTTAAATAGAGTATGGGCTTTAGCCCCATCGAAAGAGCTATCTATTGTTGCTGAGCTGCTTCTTTTTTACTTTCCAGGATGAAAAACTTTCAGTGAATGTCTACAAGCAGTTTATGAAAGATGGGCAGAAAGTTTGGGACCTCCTGGCGGCGCTGCATTCCCACTGCCGGCCCATCCGCAGCCTTCTCTTTGGAGTGCAGTTGGACAGCGATGAACCCAGGCTGTTGAGCCTTGGGGAAGACAAACTTCTGGTATCTCGTTGTTTGTTGCCATAATGAGTTATGCTTGGTGACGTGAAAGACTTGATTAGGAGAAATGCCAAATCAGTGGTCCAAGAATGTGGTTGAGCTCCAATCTCTGTTACTTCGTTTACAGGTGGAGTATGACCTGGAAAAGACCACCCGCTACAACCTGGCCGTTCACCAAAGGCTCCGCATTGAGCAGGGAGCCATCCCCAAGTGTCTCACCTGGCACCCGCCTCTCACAACGGAACACTTTTTACTCACGGCCAGTGATGAGTATAAAATGAAGATGTACAACGTGACCACAAAGATGTGCAGGTATCTCTCTTCTGTTATTAGCCAACTTTATCCCTCTAAGCCAGGCTTCCTCAACTTGTAGCTTCCAGCTGTTTGTGCCTCTAAATCCCAGAATCCCTTGTCAGCTTGTTAAATGGTCAGGAGTTGGAGGCCCAAACAGCTGGAAGGACACAGTTTGGGGTGGCCTCCTGTAAGCGGTGTGCGAGTCTGATTAACTAGGTGTCAGCATTTTATCTCGCCAATACTGTGTTTCATTACAGTGGTGCCACTGGACTAAGCTCTCAGTTGGGTGACTCCCAAAGGCCAATGGTGACCCACTAAATCCTATAAAGCAAATCTTCTTCCTAATTGAATCTGGGGGTTGTTAACAATTGTGCAGCTTGCCACCTAGTGGCTTTACATGAATCCAGGGAGGAAAGGAAAGCTATCAGAGTACAGGCAGTCCCCAAGTTACAAACAAGATAGGTTCTGTAGGTTTGTTCTTAAGTTGAATTTGTATGTAAGTTGAAACAGGTACTTTTAAAAGTGTAACTTCATGTGCTTTGGATAGCATAGGGAAGGGTTAACACTAGGTTTGTGCAATCCGGGTAAACCTTTACCCGTTTCGTGTCCTGGTTTTCGGTGGGGGCCCCAATCCATTTTTTGAGAGTCTTCTGAAATTGGGAGGGCAGATATCTGTTTTTGCTCTAGGGTGCCGAAAGAGCCATTTTCTATCGGCCCATTATGTGGGGAGGGCTTCCCAGGCTCCCCTTCTCATTATTTTAGACATTTAAGCTGTTAGAGGAGAGGTGCTCAGCTACAGGCAGGCACGTGCTTTAAGGAGCCTTCTTACTTGTTTCTACTCTAGAGGAGAGACACTTAGCTGCAGACAGGCGCATAAGCTTTCTCTCCCAGGCCTGCACGCCACACACACTCTTTCCAAGGCAAGGAGGCAAGTTCTGTTTCTTACTCCAGAAGAGACGGAGAGGCGCTCAGCTGTAGGCAAACGCGTGCTTTTTCCCGGGCTGCACCATGCCATCAGCTATGCACTCTTTCCAAGGCATTTTAAGGAGGCTTCCCACTTTCAGTTAGGAAGAGCGATGACCTCCTGGAAGAGAAGAGTAGTTTTCTGGGAATTAGGGTTTACTTTTAGTTTTCTGGGGGATTAATAAAAAATATTAAACAGTGAAAAGCAGAGGAGGAGCCGAGATTGGCTCCCGCTTGCTTTCGTGTCAGGCGGGTTTTCGTACCGGGAGGGCCCTTACAATTATGGGCTTCCGAAGTACTGAAGGTACCAAAAGAAACAGGAAATGGAAGAAACGAATTCCACGCACAAGTCTAGTTAACACTCCTGTGGTGTTTGATTTGCTGTCTGTGCCCCTGTTCAGAAGATTTCACCTCCCTTTCTGTACCTATTATAGTAATTTTGAAGAATATGGCTTGTTGTGGAAACAAGGATCAGTGATAGAGCTTCAGTGGAGACTTCTTTTCCCCATGATCATAACTCTTTCAGGAGTGAATTTCCCTTCCTAGAGGTAGATTTCTCTGACTTCCTGTTGCCTCCACCCCATCCTTAAGTAGGAACCATTTATAAGTCGGATGTTTGTAACTCGGGGAATGCCTGTATACTATTTTATCTCTTGAGGCTGCAAACCAAGCATTCCATCCTGGAATGAAAAACGTTGAAGATGCTCTGTATCCTGCAGTATCAAATATAAAACCAAGATTTGATTCTTTATGTCAAAATAAACAAGTACACGCATCTCATCAGTGTGAAAATTGGCTTTATTCTTTAATAAATGGTAAAAATTATTGGTATCCCAAGTAATTTTTTAAAAAATAGATTTATTTCTTCATTTATTATCAGTAAATGTTGAATGCTTATACCTGTTTTATATACCTGCTATGCATGACATTCAAATTCTGGGACTGAGGGTGTTCATAGGTGTACGGCTTATGCCACTCAATTCAAAAGCCGATTTTCTCTGTTCAGAAGAAAAGGCAGAAAAAACTGTGAGAGAAGATGGGATCTTGTCATCTAGATCTCTTTAAAGCACCCATAAAAGAACTGGTGCAAGTGCATTGTATGGGCCTTAGCTGGGATCATCCCGAGCGTTTGGTGAACAAATTAGTTGTGATGGGAAAGCTCTGCTTCACTATCCCTTGGAGTCAATGTGAGACAGCAAAATTGTGATAAGTGTTCATTGGTTTGGGTTGCTGTGAGTTTTCCGGGCTGTATGGCTATGTTCCAGAAGCATTACCTCCCGATGTTTCACCCACATCTATGGCAGGCATCCTCAGAGGTTGTGAGGTCTGTTGGAAACTAGGCAAGTGAGATTTATTTATCTGTGGAATAATGTCCAGAGTGGGAGAAAGAACTCTTGTCTGTTGGAGGCAAGCGTGAATGTTGCCATTGGCCACCTTGATTAGCATTGAATAGCCTTGCAGCTTCAAAGCCTGGCTGCTTCCTGCCTGGAGATACTTTGTTAAAATCAGGACAGCAAATAAAGAACAACACTCAGAAAACAGTTGAATTCCAGACAGGAAACAACTAGGGCCAGCTAACACCTCCTAACGAAGTATTCCCCTTGGTCAGGAAGCAGCCAGGCTTCGAAGCTGCAGGGCCATTAAGTGCTAACCAAGCTGGCCAGTTGCAGCATTAGCACTTGCCTCCAACAGACAAGAGTTCTTTTTCCCACCCAGGACATTATTTCACAGATATATAAACCTCTCTTGCCTATTTTCCAACAGACCTCCCAAACTCTGTGGATGCCTGCCATAGATGTGGGTGAAATGTCAGGAGAGAATGCTTCTGGAACAGCCCAGAAAACTCACAGCAACCGAGTAATTCCGGTCATGAAAGCCTTCGACAACACATGTTCATTGGTTTGTTTTAGAAAGACTGTCCTGGGACCCACATACGGTTCGCCCCTTGAGAAGATCCTGGTCCTTCCGCTCGAAGAAGGCCGTGACCCTCAGAAACGGTATCTGGCCTACATTACCACAGATAAGGTAAGTCAGAGTCATACAGGACACTTTGGTAACTGGTCACTTCCTCCCCCAGAGGAAATTTCCTGGTTCTTTGTTTTTAATCACATTTATTGCATTTGAATGTTATTTATTTATTTATTTACAGCATTTATATGCCGCCCTTCTCACCCCGAAGGGGACTCAGAGCGGCTTACAATATATATATGTTATATCCAGACACTACTAGTTAATTGTGTGTTTTTTCTTTAATTTTGTATTTGCTTTGTTTTCAAATGTGGTTGAGAGCCACCTTGAGTCCTAACGGCAGAAATGCTGGATATAAATAAAGATGGTGGTGATGATGATGATGATGATGACGACAACTATAACAATAACAACACTGTGTAACACCATTTTTGTTCCCAGGTTATACATGTCATTTCCTAATAGGTTCTAACATAAAAACATGGAAAAAGCATATTAAACTGCAAACAAATTGTTTTTGTGGGACATCCTGCAGCAAATTTTGCTCTAGTTTTTCAATGAATATCTCGGGTCTCAACCAATTCAATATAGTTTGTGGCTGCCACAAAAATAAAGTTTCTGGAGGATAACAACTATTTTCAAATTAAGTACCACACAATTAAACAGCAAAGAACAATTTCAAACCAGGAACATTTTTTTTTCAAATTTTGTTACATAGTGTAATTTGTTTGCCCCAGACATCCTGAAAGTGAGGGGTCCTTTAAGTTAGGCCGTAGGTTCACACTTGTGGCCCTCCTGGTGTTTAGGCCTCCAACTCCCAGAATCTCTAACCAGCTTGTCCCATGGCTCAGAATTCTGGGAGTCCAAAACACAAGTTTGACACCACTGAGTTAGGGAATAGCAGCAGACCCGTAGGCCTGTGCTGCCCTGGTCGTTTCCCACCTCTGGTATAGATGCTGAACATTGGAGGTCTTTGGAGGGAGTGATATTGGGTTCTCTGTTCTGCTTTTCAGGTCGGTCTGCAGGTCTTGCCTGTGGATGGGAACCCACACAAGTCCTGCACTGTCATTTGCCACCCTACTGGCGCCTCCAACCTGGCCTGCTCTTATGATGGGTGCCACCTCTTCACGGCCGGGAGCCATGACTTCACCGTGATGAAATGGGATGTTAATTTAAGGTAAGAGAGAGTCTCTTTGCGTTCTAGTATATCTGTACGTTGCATGTTACCGTATTTCACGAATGGCTGCATTATCACTTTCTGGCCTTGAAAGGGGTAGATGAATTCTGCAACAGTTCTTAGCTGATGATAGGTGTGGGGTTATTTCCAAAAAGGGGAAAGCATTTCAAAATGTAAACTGGCAAGAATAGCAGCAGCAGTTTAGCAGATCAGAAGCTTCTAGTGCCATAACTAGAGCTATGGAGCTTCAGCAATGCAGGAGCACAGTCAAGCTTTCAAAGTTATGAAATACTTTATTGAAAGAACTACATTTCTATATAGGAAAGATAGGGCCTAGCTTTCTAACTCTCTCTGGAGACATCTTGTCTCTATCTATGCTCACAGGAGAAACACAAAATGGAGGTCTCAGGGGCTTGTCATGTTCTCAGGAACTTTGAATCAAAAGAGGTGTGTTCCTGAGAAGCATCAGTCTAACAAACAGTAGAAATAGGAGGAGAGAACAGAGAGATCGGCAGACAGAGAGACCAACGAGGGAAGTGCTTTTCCTTGCTTATCTGCCTATCTGATCTGCCTATCTATATCCTTGATGTGGACTACAAACTTGTGCAGCATGGGGCTGAGTTCCAACAATAAGGAATGTTTCCTTGCGTGTTTATGCTGCCAAGGGAAAACAATTGCAGTCCTGACATTGGGAATGGCTGGGCAGGGCCATAGCATACCCTTGGCTTTCTGCTAGGCCTGGGTAACAACGGAAAAATTTGTTTCTAAAATCGATTTGTATTTGGGGGGGTTTTGTTTCGATATTTAAAATAATTACAAAATTTTCCTTTTAAAAAGTTCGATATTTACGAAATTTCGTAAGTGGTAAAAAATTAACGAATCGATTTCCGAAACAATAACGAATCGATTCGTTAATGGCGGACGCGACCGCGTCCATTACTCGAAGTAAGCGGTCGCGGAATACTTTTTTTGCCAGGGGGCGCTGTTCTGTCCTTAGGCCACGCCTCCTCCTGCAGGCCCCATGCGCCCTCAACAGCCTTCTAATGGAGAAGCGCAGGCCCCGCCCACTAGGCGAGAGGGAAGTCCTCCCTCCACGTGCTGCCAGGAGGGAGGCAGCCAGCCAGGCTCTTTCGCTTTCCCTTTCCTTCCCTGCAGCTGAGCCTGGACCCCTCTCAGGGCAGCAAGGAGGCCTGGTCAAAAGGTACTGCAAATGTCATCTTTTGTACATGCCTCCCCCAAACCCCTCTAGTATTTGGTAATGGAAGTCCTATATGCCAAGCTTGGTTCAATTCTATTGTTGGTGGAGCTCAGAATGTTCTTTGGTGCTTGGTAAACTGCAATTCCCAAATGTCAGGGTCTATTTTTCCCAACCCCCTCTCCAGTATTTTCTGTTAGTCATGGAAGTCCTGTATGCCAAGTTTGGTTCAGTTCTATTATTGGTGGAGTTCAGAATGCTCTTTGGTGCTTGGTGAAGCATTCTCACCTGATGTTTCACCCACATCTATGGCAGGCATCCTCAAGAGGCTGTGAGGTCTGTTTGTAACTAGGCAAGTGGGGTTTGTATATCTGTGGAATGTCCAGGGTGGGAAAAAGAACTCATGTCTGCTTGAGGTAAGTGTGAATGTTGCAATTGGTCATCTTGATGAGCATTTAATGGCCTTGCAGCTTCGAAGCCGAGCTAGTTGCTGCCCAGGAATCCTTTGTTGGGAGCGGTTAACTGGCCCTGATTGCTTCATGTCAGGAATTCCCCCCCTTTTTTAGTGTTGCTCTTTATTTATTGTTCTGATTTTAGAGGGTTATTTTAGAGGGTACTGGTAGCCAGATTTTGTTCCTCTGAGGTTGCCTGCCATAGATGTGGGGAAAATGTCAGGAGAGAATGCTTCTGGAACATGGCCATACAGCCCAGAAAACTCACAGCAACTCAGTGATTCTGGCCATGAAAGCCTTCCACAACACATTATTATGTTTATTTATACCCTGCTTTTTCTCTCCCCAAGAAGACTCAAGTTGGCTTAGATTAAAAACATTTCAGTACAGTTTAAAATCCACAAATATGCAAACATTAAAATGGAATTAAATATCATTGGTATTTTAAAAATTCAGTTAAAATCCATAAAAAACATCCAAAACTAAAAACTGCAGCAGACCCTGACTTGATCTTTAAAACCTTTTAAAGCCTGCATTAGATTACCAAATGTAATGTCCCTTTATACACACTGCTTTATATTAATTTCCCCAGTATTCCTTTATCTGATTTGTCATCAACACACTTAATGGACTGCAAAAATATGATTCTGTGTGATTCCTTTCCATTGCTGGCCGAATAGTTTAAATTTGGATAATATTTTGACTTTGATATTTTAGCAATTACATTTTGCAGCAGTGTCTTTTGGGTTGCTAACTCTTGTCCTTCCACTTATCCTTCCATCAGTTCCAGGGCTCAATCCCAACTGCTGTTGGACGAGACACTATGGAGCTCTATATTTATATTTCCACAGTACAAAGTGGCAAAATCAAAGACTGCTTTGGGATTTTTTTTAAAAAAAATGTTTTCAAACCATGGATGGTTGAAGCAGTGGTTGCAGAACACCAACTGTGTAACACTGTTACTGTACGAGTAAAGCAACAACAAAATGCTCCCCTGCCCTTAGGTGTATAATTTAATTAAAACATGACACAAAGGCAAAGGGATGCCAGTGTGGGAAGGGATGAAGGGCCTGTCCAGACAGGCCCTATATCCCAGGATGTGATTGCAGGTTTTCTGTTTATCCTGGATTATCTGGCAGAGTGGACTCATATGATCCAGTTTAAAGCTGAAAACCTGGGATTTATTTATTTATTTGTCATGTCAGAACAACCAGTCAAATTATGTTACATTTCTAACAGAACAAAGCAAAACAAGCAGATTACAAAATTTGTGAGTATGGTAGTTGATTAAATGTCCTTTGATCAGTATCTGGCCACTTGGAGTGCTTCTGGTGTTGCCGCAAGAAGGTCCTCCCTTGTGCATGTGGCAGGGCTCAGGGTTCATTGCAGCAGGTGGTCAGTGGTTTGCTCCTCTCCACACTCGCATGTCGAGGATTCCACTTTGTGGCCCCATTTCTGAAGGTTGGCTCTGCATCTCGTGGTGCCAGAGCACAGTCTGTTCAGCCTTCCAAGTCACCCAGTCTTCTGTGTGCCCAGGGGGGAGTCTCTCATTTGGTATCAGCCATTGGTTGAGGTTCTGGGTTTGAGCCTGCCACTTTTGGACTCTCGCTTGCTGAGGTGTTCCAGCGAGTGTCTCTGTAGATCTTAGAAAACTATTCTAGATTTAAGTCGTTGACGTGCTGGCTGATACCCAAACAGGGGATGAGCTGGAGATGTCTCTGCCTTGGTCCTTTCACTATTGGCTGCTACTTCCCGGCGGATGTCAGGTGGCGCAATACCGGCTAAGCAGTGTAATTTCTCCAGTGGTGTAGGGCGCAGACACCCCGTGATAATGCGGCATGTCTCATTAAGAGCCACACCCACTGTTTTAGCAGTGGTGAGATGTGTTCCACACTGGGCATGTGTACTCAGCAGCAGAATAAGGCACATGGGCAAACTTGGGCCCTCCAGGTGGTTTGGACTTCAACTCCCCCAATTCCTAACAGCCTACCGGCTAGTCTATATTAAACCTTTATACACACATATATATACACGTGTTGTTGTTCATTCGTTCAGTCGTCTCCGACTCTTCGTGACCTCATGGACCAGCCCACGCCAGAGCTCCCTGTCGGCCGTTACCACCCCCAGCTCCTTAAAGGTCAGTCCAGTCACTTCAAGGATGCCATCCATCCATCTTGCCCTTGGTCGGCCCCTCTTCCTTTTGCCTTCCACTTTCCCCAGCATAATTGTCTTCTCTAGGCTTTCCTGTCTCTCATGATGTGGCCAAAGTACTTCAACTTTGTCTCTAGTATCTTTCCCTCCAGTGAGCAGTCGGGCTTTATTTCCTGGAGGATGGACTGGTTGGATCTTCTCGCAGTCCAAGGCACTCTCAGCACTTTCCTCCAACACCACAGCTCAAAAGCATCGATCTTCCTTCGCTCAGCCTTCCCTAAGGTCCAGCTCTCACATCCGTAGGTTCCTACAGGGAATACCATGGCTTTGACTAGGCAATGGATCTTTGTTGCCAGTCTGATGTCTCTACTCTTTACTATTTTATCGAGACTGGACATTGCTCTCCTCCCAAGAAGGAAGCGTCTTCTGATTTCCTGGCCACAGTCTGCATCTGCAGTAATCTTTGGGCCTAGAAATACAAAGTCTGTCACGGCCTCCACATTTTCTCCCTCTATTTTCCAGTTGTCAATCATTCTTGTTGCCATAATCTTGGTTTTTTTTATGTTTAGCTGCAACCCAGCTTTTGCGCTTTCTTTCACCTTGATTAGAAGGCTCCTCAGCTCCTCCTCGCTTTCGGCCATCAGAGTGGTGTCATCTGCATATCTGAGGTTGTTAATGTTTCTTCCAGCAATTTTCACCCCAGCTTTGCATTCATCCAGCCCCGCACATCGCATGATGTGTTCTGCATACACGTTAAAAAGGTTGGGTGAGAGTATGCAGCCTTGCCGTACGCCTTTCCCAATCTTGAACCAGTCTGTTGTTCCGTGGTCAGTTCTGACTGTTGCTACTTGGTCCTTGTACAGATTCCTCAGGAGAGAGACAAGGTGGCTTGGTATGCCCATCCCACCAAGAACTTGCCACAATTTATTATGATCCACACAGTCAAAGGCTTTAGAATAGTCAATGAAGCAGAAGTAGGTTTTTCTGAAACTCCCTGCCTTTCTCCATTATCCAGCGGATATTGGCAATCTGGTCTCTCGTTCCTCTGCCTTTTCTAAACCCAGCTTGAACATCTGGCAGCTCTCGCTCCATGTATTGCTGGAGTCTTCCTTGCAGGATCTTGAGCATTACCTTACTGGTGTGAGAAAGTGGTATACAAATATGTAAATAATAAATAAAATGTTGGGATCATGGGATAGCTG